CACCTCCTGTGAGGCCGCCATGGTCTTGGCCTCCCTCCCCAGCACACGAGCAGTTCCCTGAGGTCTGCAGCAGGGCACCCAGAGGCTTGGTCAATGTCACCAGACCACCCAGCTCCTGGCGTCAGGCTGTCCGTCCAGTTATTGCGCAGTGTTGTCAAGCACCCTCATCTTTTCCTGTCTTCGTGGCTATAGAAGACAGCGCTTCTAACCCAGTTGTGCATCAAGAAGAGAAGGGATCAAGACAAATACTGCATGCTCTCAGTTACATGCAGAATCTAAAAACAACGCCCAAACCACCAAACCACAGATCCACAGAACAGATTGGTGGTTGCCAGAGATGGGGGCGGGGGTGGGGCAAAATGGTGAAGGGGATCAGAAGGTACACACTTCTGATTACAAAATAAATGAGTCCTGGAATGGAATGCACAGCATAGCAACTGCAGTTCATAGTACTGCAATGCACATTTAAAAGTTGCTAAGCGAGTGCATCTTAAAAGTTCCTGTCCCAAGAAAAAAAATTGTGACTACATGAGATGATGGATGTTAACTAGACTTACAATGATCATCTCACAATATAACAGATGGGAAATCATCATGGTGTACACTTTAAACTAGTAAATGTTATATGTCAATTATATCACAATAAAAAATGATAACTAATACCAAAGAGAGGAGAATAGATGAATATCGTGTGGTGCTTTATACAGAGGAGCACTACAAAGCAGTAAGAAAAGAATGGACTATTGCTACATACAAGAAAGAGGTGAATCTCACCGGGGCAATGTGAGCTAAAGATCACCCAGACCCCAAATAGTATGCAAGCAACACTCATCTATGATGACCGAGGTAGAAATATTATTTATTCCTTAGTGGGTGGGGTGAGGGTGAGGGGCTGGGAAGGGGCACACAGGAGCCTGCTTGGAGTTGGAAATATTCTGTTTGGATCTCAGTGGTGATTACACTGGTGCGCGCTCATGTAAAAATCCATCAATCTAAACACCTAAGTTTTTGCACTTTGTTCATGTAAGTCAATCCTTAATTAAAAAAGAAAAACAGCCCTGGCCGGTTTGGCTCAGCGGTTAGAGCGTCGGCCTGCGGTCCAGAGAGACCCGGGTTCAGTTCCCGCTAAGGGCACGTACCTCGGTTGCAGTTTGTCCCTGGCCCTGGTTGGGTTGTGCGGGTGGCAGCCACTTGGTGTGTCCCTTTTGCGTCAAAGTTTCTCTCTCTCTCTCTCTCTCTCTCTCCCTCCCACTCTATCTAAACAAAAAAAAATGGAAAAATGTCCTCAGGTGAGGATAAAAAAATAAAATAAATAAGAAAAACAAAAACATATTATTAGCCCTGGCCGGTTTGGCTCAGCGGTTAGAGCGTCAGCCTGCAGTCCATAGAGACCCGGGTTCGGTTCCCGCTAAGGGCATGTACCTTGGCTGCAGTTTGTCCCTGGCCCTGGTTGGGTCGTGTGGGTGGCGGCCACTCGATGTGTCCCTTTCACATCGATGTTTCTCTCTCTTCCTCTCTCTCCTTCCCGCTCTGAGTAAAAAATGGAAAAATATCCTCAGGTGAGGATAAAAAATAAAAAATAAAAAAAAATAAAAAAAAATAAAAAAAACATATTATTAAATATTTCAAACACCCCCAAAATTGTAAAGGATCATTCCTTTATAGAACATTTAAGCCTGGCCAATGTGGCTCAGTGGATTGGGCGCCGTCCCATGGACTGAGAGGTCCCGGTTCGATTCTTAGTCAGGGCACATGCCCAGGTTGCAGGCTCAGTCCCCAGGAGGGAGACATGCAGGAGGCAGCCGATCGATCTTTCTCTCACATCGATGTTCCTATCTCTCTCTCTCAAAAAAAAAAAAAAGAATTAATAAAAACATTTTAAAAATAGCGGCACCCACGGAAGCCTTAGGTGTCGATGGTTCTCTCCCACTCACCCCATCTTCGTGGTTTAACTAAAAAGTTGGCAGAGGCTGCCTTGTGGGTTCTCCACTGGAAACTGGAAGTCATTATTTCTTTCTCCTATTTGCAATTTCAGGGTCAGTTTATGAAGTTTGTTGATAAATGTTATCAGAAAAATATTCCCCTAAATTTTTTTTTCTTTAAAAATGTAACAGAAAATAAAAACCCTTTCAGCTTAGCCTCAGATGCCGTGCCATTGACCTGCGGAGGGGGACAGGCCATTGGTTACTCTGACCAGCAGGACTGTAGCCTGGACCGTCCTCCTCACCCTCTTGCTCCAAGTCGCCCATTTCCTGGCCGAGGCCTGGTCGCCCTCCAGGGGTTTGCAGGCCTCCTACCTCTGCCTATCAGGTGGGCGGAGGCCGTGCCGTGTTTCAAATCTCTGTCTCCCACATAATCAATATTTTCCTTCTTCTTGTTCTTCTTCCATGCATTTCTTTTTCATTTCTAAGAGTCCTGCATGAGACCTGGCCTTCTGACTTAAGAAACCATCAACCGTCATGGAGCGCCAAGAAATAACTGCTTTTCAGCTCGCATTTCCTTTCCCTCTGTATCCGTCCTTTGTCCTTCTGGTTTTTATTCAATCTACTATTGCATTGACTTTTTCTTGCACAGTTGACACTAACGTAACAATCATTACCATGCCGAGGGTTTCTTCTGCCCACAGCACTCATTTTATTTTATTTTTTCTTTATTGATCCTGGAGAGAGGAAGGGAGAGGGAGAGAGAGAGAAACATCGATGAGAGAGAACATTGACTGGCCGCCTCCTGCACGCCCCCACTGGGGATCAGGCCCACAGCCTGGGCATGTGCCCTGACTGGGAATCGAACTGGTGACCTCTTGGTGCAGGGGTCAACTCTCAACCACTGAGCCACACTGGCCAGGCATAGAACTCATTTAAAAATATCCGAGACATTCTGTCTTCAGGAGTCTCTTCTAGAGAATATTGCATGAAAGGGGAATCCCTCTGGGTATTTTTCACTGCATGTCAAGTGGAGTGTGGTCTGGACAGCTTTGTCATTTTGTCCAGCTTCAGATGTCAGAGTAATGGTGAAGCTGGGTGATTTCTTGGTAATTCCAGAGAATGACACTGTCAAAGCCCTCTTCCCTCAGCCCCTCCCATCCTGACCGTCACAGAGCGAACTGGAGCAGGCCTGGAGCTAGCGGGAGGCAAGTGAGCAGGCCCGGGCCTCTAGCCCGCAGCGCTGCTCCTCCCAGAGCCTGCATGGGGACCTCACCTGGATGGCCCGGCCACGGCCTCTTGCCTCCTTCTGGTGCTTTCCTTCCATTCTGCACTTCCTGGGGGCCGCACCCTGGGCACGCTGGGGCCCAGGGTGCTCCCTTTGTGAGATTCGCCCTTCGCCATTAGGCCTCACGTTGCAGGCCCCCTCCGCCTTGGAGCTCTGCCCGCTGAGACGCCAGCCCCCAACTCTCCCCATGACAGTCGCTGCCCACTCCTTCTTCCTCCCCGACCCCGCACCTTCCTGTTCACGGTGGCTAACACGGTTAGACTGCTGGCCCGGGAGCCGCAGGTGGGTGGGGGCCTCGCTGATCTGACCGCATGCCCCGGGCACGGAGTTCCCACAGAACTGAGCTCATTCTCTCTCCTGCAGCAAGCTGTCCCTGGGGAGGGTGGCACATTTAGTGTCACCACCTCAAGGGACTGGGCTATGCCTCGGGTAAAATGAAAAGAAACCATAGGTCACAGTGGTATTTGGTCTTAAAAGGGAAAAACCGCCCTGGCCGGTTTGGCTCAGTGGTTAGAGCGTCGGCCTGCGGTCCGGAGAGACCCGGGTTTGGTTCCCGCTAAGGGCATGTACCTCGGTTGCAGTTTGTCCCCGGCCCCGGTTGGTCGTGCGGGTGGCAGCCACTCAATGTGTTCCTTTCACGTCGATGTTTCTCTCTCTCCCTTCCTCTCTCTCCCTCCCACTCTGTCTGAACAAAAAGAAAATGGGAACGTGTCCTCGGGTGAGGATAAAAAAAAAAAAAAGGAAAAGCCTTGCAGGCAGCAGCTCTTTGACTACAAATGCTGGGCTGGTAAGAAAGTTCTGGGACAGAGACCTTTTAAATTCAAGGCAGCAGCAGCCCAGAGAATAGGGCGCTGTTTACAATGTCTCGTGATGGATACTGTGTTGATTGCACCCACTCTGCACCCCCCACCCTGGCTGTGCCCCAGAGCTGGCCTCCCGCCCTCCAGCAGGCCCCTTGCCTTGGCTGTGGGTTGGGTTCAGCTAACAGGGGGAGAGGCATCAGGAGGAGGGCGGGGGAGAGGCCGGGGTAGACTCTTCCAGCTCCTTTGCTACCGGCCACCCACCTGCTGGAGTCCTCTCCACAGCTGCAGCTTTGGCCCAGGTCCAGTCACAGCCTCTTTGCTGTGCCCCTTCGGGGTAGCCATGGCTCCCCAGAGTCCTTTGTGGGTTCCCTTAGTCCTGTCCACACCAGCGCACATGGCCCTTCCTTCAGGTCCTGTCCCCCCTGAGGTGCCACTGCTTGTCCCAGGACTGTGCCGACACAGCACCCGAGAAAGTGCTTCTGGGCACACTCAGCCTCGAGCCTCGTTCAGCCTCCCGGGGGGCAGCCTCGGCAGCAAAGCCTGTAGATGACACCGACCTTGCAGACGTTGACTGCTGATCTGTAGACAGCTTGCTGCAGGACAGAACTCGTCACTGAACTTGAAAGTGTTCTCACCTAACTCAACAAACGTGTTAGCCCACCCATCACTACTTTGCATATCAGGAGACTTATTTCCTTCTTGCAGGCCCACTTATAATTCTAACAAATTTAAATCCAACTCCCCGCTCCTCTCAAAGAACTGCTGCAGACAAGGCGGCTCAGCCCGGGACGTCTTCAGCACCATGCCCTCCGAGGTCGGCAGCCATTCACGTCAGAGTCAGATAAGCCGGCAGCCCACGCGAACAGGACTGAGACCAACTCCTGGCACCAGCGTGCCCAGCGGGAGAGGCTGGGGAGCCCAGGGCACCGAAAGAAGCAGACGACTGCACTGGTCCTGGACCTCAGTCACAAGCTTTATTGTCTCGAGCACGGACTCGCCACACTTCAATGATTCCATTTTGGGGAGGGGAGGGCAAGGGAAGGACTTAAGGGAGGGGGCACAGCTGAGTCCACACTGGGCAGGCAGAGATGTTCACTGGGCAATCGCTTCTTTGATCCCTGCCACCTGCAAGCCCATCGGGGCTCAGCCCCTCCCGGTGTGGGCCTTGGGCTGTTAGTAGACTAATCAGCGCCTCCTTTGGGTGGGCAGCTTGCCTGATTTTGCTGGAAAGAGTAGTATTAACTCTGGGTTAGGCCACTAAAGCATCGCTCCTAGACTGTTGTTAATAAAACCGCATGCGAGAGCTACCAAAAGCCAACAGGGAGGGGCCGATGGGACAAACTGGCTGCCCCCAAGAGGGGCTGCCTGCGGGGAAGGTTGTGAGCTCCACCGCCTGCACCCGGGAGCACTCGCAGGCTGGCTGGGCCGCTCCCGGGGCAGCCCGCACACCGTCCCGGTGCACCATGGGGACATCGTGGCGGGCGTGGGCTTCTCCTGCACCCCCAGCAGTGGTGCTGCGGCTCAGGCCACACCTGCGGGCCCTCCAGCTGTACAGGTGGGTGCTGCTGGACCCAGGCTGGCTTTTGCTGCCACACACAGGCCTAGAGACACTCAGCAGGGCTTGAGAGAAGAGGGAGGGTGGTTCACTTTTCCTTGCCAACACCCCTTACGCTCTCGTTCTGGCTACAGGAGACAAGGTTTAAAAAGCTCCGGGAAGGTGCCTGGTAAGACTGAAAGAGGCTGTCAGTACCTGTGCATTCTGATGCATGTGCCTGGCACACACACCCCTGAATGCCCACTGCATGTAGCTGGGTGTGTACGTGCACAGCCAGCTTGCAGGAATGTTCATGGTGTGTGTGGGCACTACCTTGCCCAGCTTGGGGCTTGGTCCTGGAACCCAAGCGTGTGCATCGGTGTTGCCTGAGCATGGCTGACTGCAGACACCCCACCGGCATGGCCACGTGTGACCCCTCTGAGCACATGTGTCAATGGTCAGTGGGTGTAGACATCAGGGTGCACCTGCAGGTGGGAGGCCCAGTTTTGAAACATCTAGTCAGGCCGGGGGACACCGAATTACTGACCAGTTAAAATGTGTCTGGACCACCAGTCTGAACCCCCATAGGCACCCTGCTCCAGCTCCACGCCAGGTCAGTGGTGGGGGTGAGGGAAGGCCTCCAAACTTTCCTAATACTGTGGCTCCTGGCCTTGGTGACCACCCTCTCTGGCCAGCAGCTTGGAGTTATGTCTAAGTGTGTATTGGTGTTGGGGGAAAAGGTTCTTACACCCCAACTCCTGGAACTCGGGACCTCGCTGGGCAGATGAGCCAAGGGGAACTTGTACCACTGCTTGAAGGAGGCTCGGGATGTGGACAAGCACCCTGGGAACTGCCGTGGCCGGGAAGCGGCTGCAGAAGAGGGGTCCTCACCTGGCTCCTGAGGACTGGGCTTCCCTCCTTGGTGCCTGCAAGGAGACCCTGGGCCTCCTGACTCTTTCCGGGATAATGGTCTCTGGGTTTGAGGGGCACCTGGGAGGAGGAAAGGGAGGGTAGGGATGTGCCCAGGGTGCCAAGATGGTCCTCGGGGCAGCTTGTTTTGGGGAGAGGGGCCTGGCCAGATAGCCTCAGCCTCCCCAAATTCCAGAAACTGCTGGGGCATCCTGCGTGTCCAGGCTGAAGGTTCCGGGGGCCAGGCCAGGGCTGTACCGCTCTCTGTGGAAATTCGTGCTTGAGGAAGCCTCCTGGTCCAGCAGGGGGGTCGGGGGTGGGGGATTGTCCAAGGCGGTAGGTACATTATTGTTACAAACACTGTTCTTGTCTCCAAAGTGACAGTCCTGGCTGCTGCCTGGAGGGGGCGCCACCGGGGCAGAAAGGGGTGGCTCTGGTGTGGACTGGGCTGCTCCATGATGTCCCTCAGGGTCAGTGCTTGTCCTGGAGAGAGCAAGGGCTTGATCAGCAAGTGTCCTTAGGAGTGGCAGAGGCGGGTAAGTAAAAATGGGGGGCTGGGGGAGGATAACCTGCCTCTACCAGCAGAGGGAACGGCATGGGCAAAGGCCCTGGGGCAGAAAAAAATCTCTTTGCTGTGTGTTGAGGAACAGTGAGATAGGAAGTAGGGTGGGAGCTGTGTAGGGGAAGTTGAGAAGGGGCACGAGCAGATGGGTTTATAGAGCCCTGAGTTCCTGTGAGGAGGCTGGATCCAAGAAAATAAAAATTGCAGGTGAGACTCCAAGCCTTGGTTTTCATGTCTGTAAACTGGGATGATCCTTGTGCCTCAAAGGGCTGACAAAGCCACACAGGTTTAGATATCAGCATCCTGCCACTTCCCCTACAGTTCTGTGCCCCTCCCCACCCCACCCCCCCTCTCTCTGCCCCTCACCCACAGGCTTGGCACTTGGCAGATTCAATGCCCAAGGTTCCCTGTCTCTAGGTAAGCACTTGTGGCCAGGGGTTCTAGGGTCTGGGGTGGAAGGACAAGTTCCTATCCCATTCCAGCCTCACTTGTCCAAGGTCACACAGCAAGCCAGGGACAGAGCCAGTGCCGGGCTCTGCTCACCTCATTGGGCTGGCATCTGGGCCCCAGGTGGGTGACCATTAACTGTGGGTAAAAGGTATTAACTGTGGGGTGGGGACCACCAGGCACCCCCTTAAAACATAACAGTCAAGCAAAGGGAGTCACAGGCACCCTTCAGGCCCATGAAGTTCTAGAAAATCAATTTTACACCCACCATTTTATAAAATGTAGACCTGACAAACTGCTTAAGGAAGAGAGAAAATGCTTATGTTTAAATATTCAGCAAAAAGCATGGGAGGTGAAATTGAACACAGAGTGTGTGAGTTCCTCCATTAAAATGTATGTGCTGCTTTGCACCCTTCACAGTGAAGACTGTTGGCTCAGGCAAGAGGCATCCAGGGATGTTAAATCCGGAGCAGGGCTGCCCTGGCCGGTTTGGCTCAGCGGTTAGAGCGTTGGCCCGCAGACCAGAGAGTCCTGGGTTTGGTTCCCGCTAAGGGCACGTACCTCGGTTGCGGGTCATACGGGGGGCAACCAGTCGATGTGTCTCTCTCACGTCGATGTTTCTCTCTCTCTCTCTTCCTCCCTCTCTCCCTCCCACTCTATCTGAAGATAAATGAAAAAAAAATTCGGGGCAGGGAGGTTAGTGAGGAACAGGGTATTCCGATGGTCTGAAAGTCTCCACAGACTAATTGTTAGGAAAAAAACAACTATACAGTGGAGAAATCAGGTAACTCCTCGACCAGGTGATCAAAGGTCACACCAGGAGTGAAGGACAGATGGACACGGTGCCCAGTGGGGATGCCGGAGAACAGGACACGGATGAGCGCTCCAGCCTGAGGCGCAGGACCTGGCTCGGATGGACCCCCAGACAAACCCCAAATGAGGAATCTTCTGTTAAAGAAAGGAGTGGGGACTGCATTTCAAAAATGTCCATGTGTACAAATCGAAAAGAAATTGAGAACATGTTCCGGATTAAAGGAGAGTAAGAGATGTAACAACTAAATGCAACAAGCCAACTCCACCCGTAACTTGTCCTGTACTGAGGGGAAGAAGGTGGAAGACCTCCTGGGTCAACAGAGAAAATGACTATGAAGAGCAGAATGGACACAAATCTTCTATCCACGTTGCATTTGCTGAGATTGATAACTACTGCTGTTACGTATGATCATGTCCTTTACTCAGGCAATACAGACCCAAGTGTTAAGGCCCATGACACATGCAATTATAGTCAGAAGAACACTACAGGCGTTATGACAAACACATCTACACAGAGGGAGAAAGATAGAGCAGACAGGGCGAGGCGTTTACAGTGTTAAGTGGGAGAGGTTGGTGCTGGTACTGTTTTCTTTCTTGCAACTTTTTTGGTGATTTTGAAATTATTTCCAAATAAAGTTAATACATACACACACATACATACATAACAGCTTCTCATTATTCACAGGAGTTATGTTCTATAAAGTCACCGGTGCTGTTACCGAATACTGAGCCACTGGTCCTGGCGGAAACATGGGGTCAGGTTCCTTTGAACCTCTGATCACAACGTGTTCATTCACTGAGCATACATGACCACGTTTTATGTATGATTCTGTGCAAAGACACTTTAAGTAATACATACTGTTGAGCCCTGGCCAGTTTGTCTCAGCGGTTAGAGCGTCGGCCTGCGGACCAGAGAGTCGTGGGTTTGATTCTGGCTAAGGGCATGTACCTCGGTTGTGGTTCGTCCCTGACCCCTCTGGGGCCATGCAGGGGTCAACCAATCGATGTGTCTCTCTCACATTGATGTTTCTCTCTCTCCCCCTCCCTCCCTCCCACTCTGTCTGAAGATAAATGTAAAAATATCTTCAGGTGAGGATTAAAAAATAAAAAATAATAATACATACTGTTGAGTTATTAACAGCTCAAGGCCAATAGTACAGCAGGTCTTCAAATAACATCATTTTGTTATAACATTGATGAGAGAAAAAAATCGATTCTCGGCCAGGACCACTCTGTGTGGTGTCCGCATGTCCTCCCCATGTCTGTGTGGGTTTTCTCCTCGGACTCTGGCTTCCTCCCACATTCCAAAAATGTGCATGTGAGGTGAACTGTCTGGACTGTCCCCGTCTGAGTGGGCCTGTGATGGAAGGGAGTCCTGTCCGGGGGGTCCCGTCTTACGCCCTGAGTTGCTGGGAGAGGCTCCAGCCACTTGTGACCCTGAACTGGAATAAGCAAGTTGGAAAATATAGATCTTACCTTTTTTAAAAATTAATTAATTAATTTATTTTATCCTCACCTAAAGACGTTTTTTCCATTTTTTGTTCAGATAGAGTGGGAGGAAGAGAGAGAGAAACATTGACGTAAAAGGGACACATCGAGTGGCTGCCTCCCACACGACCTAACCAGGGCCGGGGACAAACTGCAACCAAGGTATGTGCCTTTAGCGGGAACTGAACCTGGGTCTCTCTGGACCGCAGGCCGACGCTCTAACAGCTGAGCCAAACTGGCCTGGGCTGATCTTACTTGTTTTTATTCTTCTTAAACGTGTGTATGGCTCACATTTATTTCAATGTTTAATAACAGAAGTGTTTGGGTCTTTCTTTAGAAGTTTGGTGGTTTTTGTGACCAGAACTATGCCGTAGGAACTTAACTCTTGTTTATATCAATTAGCCAATGGTAAAACTGCTTTGCTTATATGTCATTTCACTTAAAGTTGCAATTTCCAAGACCCTATCAACGACCTTAAGTGAGGACTTATTGTACACTTCGTGCCTGAACGCAGCTTATTTAACACACAGCTTTTCTCTGTAAGGCACAGAGCCGTCTTCTCACGCGTGGGGACACTAGACAGCACTCCAGCTCAGCAGAAAATCACCAGAACACACACAAACAGGCGACAAATGTGGCAGTGAATGGATTTCAAAGAGGACATGTTTGCAGTATGAGCACTGAAACAAGAAGGCAGAGCGTAGCCTTGTTACCTCCCAGCTGGGAACATGCAGGCCGGGAAACTCAAATGTCCTCTGCTCTGCGCATGTCCATGAATGACCACAGAATTGTTGCAAGTATTGATTTTGGGGTCACAGATAAACTCTAGTGAGCAGGCAAATTTGCAAGTATGGGATCTGTGAATAATGAGAATTGACTGTACGTGTATTCGTACATGCGCACACACACTTAGGAAAGTTCAGGAAGGGTATCACTTAACACTGCCCTTGGTCTGAATAGGAGGGCTATGAGTATTTTCTTTTTTATATACTTTTGTTTTTGTCCCAAAAGTTACCCAATAGGTATGTATTACATTATAGTAAATATTTTTTAAAAAATAATAAACATTAAAAAAAAAAAGAGAAACAAGCCCTAGCTGGTTTGGCTCAGTGGTGAGAGCGTCAGCCCACAGACCAAAGAGTCACGGGTTCGATTCTGGTCAAGGGCATGTACCTCAGTTGCAGTTTGGTCCCTGGCCCTGGTCGGGGTCGTGCAGAAGGCAACCAGTCAATGTGTCTGTCTCTCTCACGCTGATGTTTCTCCCTCTCTCTTTCTCCCTCCCACCCACTCTAGCTGAAGATAAAAATGGAAAAAAGTATCCTCGGATTTGGAAAAAAAAAAAAAGGGAAACAAGGTGAAAAAGGCATGATTAATTTTGAGTCAAGATTGTGCTGATTCCTCTGTGAGAGACCCTATTGTAAAACCTCTGCATAATGCATCTTTGTCTTTTTGGTGACTTTTCCGGTTTTTTCTGCCCGTGCGGGAGGGCAGTGGGAATGCCAGGGTGTCTTCCAAGGCCAGCGCGCCCCTTACCTCTTGTTTGTGGCCCTTGTCTTGCTGGTGGATGCCGTTTGCAGAACCGGAATTGCCGATGGCCTGTAAGAGTCATGGGCAGATGCTGAGTGAGGTTCACCGGGAAGCAGTTCCTAGTTTGTCCACCAGGTGGCGAGGTCTTCTTGATAGGATCATCTCAGGCTCCAAACTAACCAGAACTCTTCAGAATGGGGGTCCCAGGACCCCTGTACACCAAGGCTCTCAAGGCAAGGCTGCATCTCTCCCCTCAGTCTAAGATCCTCATGGTACAGCCATGTACCCCTTGGGCTGGGGCTCCCAGAGCACTTGCCTATGTCTTTCCCCTCAGACCAGGGTTTCCAGGACAGACAGGCTGCCTCCCCCCTCAGACTAGGGTTCTTAGGACAGGGCCGCCTTCCTCTTCAGAGCGGGTTCCCAGGATAGCCAAGGCTGCCCATACCGCACACACACCGCCCCCCCCCCCGCCCTGTGGACCAGGGTTCCCAGGACAGGGGCATGCTCCATGAGGACACTGCCCCCTGGCTCGCCTGGTAAGCCCAGCCCTGGCCCATGGCTCACCGGGGCCTTGTCAGGACTGCTCCTCATGGCCTCCATGAGCTTCTCCACCTGCTGAGCCTGGTCCAGTGCATCCCGCAGGGCGTCTTCTGTGCTCATCAACTGGTGCTGTAGCCGCAGGAGCTCAGGGGCTGAGGATGGGTCGATGAGGGAGTAGCGCCTTTGGTCCGACAGCGACTTCTCTTTGTCCTGGAAGTGGCCGGAGAAAGGAGGAGCATGTGTGCATGTGTGCCCATGTGCCTGTGTGTGCCAGGGGAGGGCAATCTCTCCTCTAGGCAGGAAACTCTTCTGGCCCCACCCCATCTCTGGGCCAGGCCTGAGTATCACTGGGACGCTCCTCAGGCCTCCCTCCCTCACCTGAGGGTCCCCACTGAAGCAGGTTCTGCTTTGCGTCCTCCAAGTCCTGAAATCTAGACACCCTCCTTCTTTCCTTCCTGAGTACCTCCACTCCCTCCACACTGTCTTGTATGGGTCCTTCCTATTTACCACCAGACCCAAAGCCTCATCACTTCTTACCCTCCAGCCATCTGACCCCCTCCTCTAGTGACTTCTCTACTCCTCCTCCCTGTACCCAGCAGGACACAGCTGCCCCACCCACCGTGGTCCCCGGAGACACCCCTGCTTCGTTCCCACATAAATTTGCCCCTCCTTCCTGACATTTATGTATGAATCCCCATTGCAGGACCCTGAACAAGGAGCTTTCTGGTTGATTACTTCTCTGGATGGGGAGTTCACCACCCTGCAGTAGCACATCTTACCTCTGGAAAGGTCAGATTCGTAGATAGTACCCCTTTACATTGCATCATCGACCAGGGGCCATTTGGATATTTGTAACATCATTCGAGGGCCATATAAAATAATCAACTTAAAAATTAGCCTGCTATTTTTGGTCAGGCTAATTTGGTGAGGCGTGTGATGTTAGCCAGTATTGATTTCGTGGGCCTTCTGAGACCCGCGGCCTGACGCTCCCCACCCCGACCTAGACTGACACACAGCCAGCCATGATGTCTGCAAAAGCAGCCACCTGTGGCCCTTCCACCCGCTATGTCAGCGACCCTGTGGTTCTATGGGACTTTGACTTCTCGGAGGCCTGGCTGTTCCTGGGGTGGCTCCAGGTCACCGCCCTCCATGGCATCCATTCCCCTGCCCTCACATACCAGCCCAGTCAGCTTCTCGCGGAGCCCCCGAATGTCGTCCTTGAGTTTCTGCTCCTTGATCCGCCACTCAGCCTTGTGGACCTCTCGGCTCAGGTCCCTCTCGGGCCCTGGGGAGTGGCGATTGGCCTCCAGCAATAATACCCGCAATTCGTTCAGGCTCCTGGAGAGGGATGTAGAGGCACAGAAGAGCTGCAGTCAGCTCGGGGCCCTCTGCTCCCACACTCCAGCTTTTGCCAAAAGTCCTGAGACGGCCACTCTGATGGGGAGACTGGCCAGAAGGGGTCAGAGTGGAAACACGAGGCATGAAATCATTCAACCACAGCCGAGAGGGGCGAGGATTTAGGGACAGTAAAGAAGACTTGGCCTTTCCTAGAATGTTTTTAAAGTTGTTTTTTTTTTTAAGAGAATATTTGTTTAACTAAAAAATTAAGCAAAGCAGAACAAAATATTCATCCAAGAGCTCCATGAAGCAAGACATTTTATTTTATTTCATTTATTTTATAAGCAAGATATTTTAAATGGCTGAAATCAAATGAGTTTTATTTCTCATGCAACCCTTAATCAACTGGCAGTAGCTGGTTGGAGTACTGTGATGAGAATGATTCTTGGGCACATCTAGGTTCTGCAGAAAAGAGTGTGGTGGTCACTTAGCAATATCTGCAATACACAGGATTAGAAAATAGGACATACTCCTTCTAAGCTTTTTCCCTTGCCTGTATCTACTATAGAGGAGGGGAAAACTCCTGTACTAGATGGCCATGGGTAGTTGAGAACAAAGTGGAAGGCTGCTGGTACTGCCCCTTTCCCTATCCCCCTCCTTCCTATGAATGTGATGGCTGGAGCTTCAGCAGCCACCTTGCAACTACGAGGAAGAGTACAAAAGAACCAATCAGTTAGTACTGATATTTTTAGCCACTGAACCAACTGTCATCCATACTCAGATTTCCTATGTGAGAAAAAGAAATCTCTACTTGTTAACCTGCCAACACATTCCTAGCTGATCTTCCACTCCTATCCTTAGCACCAATAAAGAAAGGCTTCAAGGAAGAGAAAGACTGTGAGCTAAGTAAGCCTTGAAGAATAGACTGGACTGAGTGAAATGTCCAAAAAGAAGGTAGGAATTGAGTGAGTGACGAGAGACAGAGGAAGAAATGAGCCAGTTAATAGCAGAAGACAGACTCCTCAGAGGAGGCAAGACTGGGCTGAGTACCAAGAATAAAATATCTGACTCGGATCGGGGAGGATATGGGGAGCAAGACAGCAGGGAACCTTGAAGGAGGAGCCTGGCTGGTCATGAGTTCATGTGGGAAGGAATGCTTCCCAGTTGCACCTGTTTAACTCCCTCCTGGGCAGGGCCACATTTTCTAGAGAGGTGCTAGAAAACTGGAAGCAAATCTAGCATAGAAACTCTCAATGTGTACATCAGACCTAACAGGACGGAAGGCGAAGAGACAGCATTTTCTTTATAAAACGATGCTTGTGCCCTGGCCAGTTTGGCTCAACGGTTACAGCGTCAGCCTGCAGACCAGAGAGAGACCCAGGTTCGGTTCCTGCTAAAGGCACATACTTCGGTTGCAGTTTGTCCCCACCCCGGTTGGGGTCATGTGTGTGGCAGCCACTCGATGTGTCTCTCTCTCTCCCTCCCGCTTTATCTGAAGATAAATGTAAAAATGTCCTCAGGTGAGGATAAAAAAAAAAAAAGATGCTTGTACTTTAACAAGATTCCTTTAAATCAGAGGCTGAACCTTAAATGTTTACAGGGCCTGGCAAACCATATCCATGAGTGAGTGAGTGGGTGTAAGTAAATAATGAAGAGGGGTGGGGGACCTGGGAGATGAGAGGGCCCTGCCCACCTGGAGGGCGCAGGTGCTCCCCAGCAATGGCTGGTTGTTGCTGTGTGGGAAGTCAGCCTAGTGTTGTCAGAACTTCCAATTTTTTAAGGGGATCTGGAGAAATCAAGATTTTATGTGCAATCTTCTGATTTTTAAATGCTCATCTAGTTTATTTGCCCTACAGCATCATATGGATCATATAAACCATGTCTATAAACTGGTACCAAGAGGTTCTCAAAGTGTGGTATGGGGAACACTCAGAGGTCCCCAAGACCCTTTCAGGGGTTCACGGGTCAAAACTATTTCCACTGTCATTTTTCTTGCACATACAATGGATTTTTTTCCCTGGGGCCGCGTGGCACATTATTGATCTGAAAACAGTATTAAAATATGCTCTTTTCCAACTACATATCACTGTAAGACCACATTTTCATAATATACTTCAACCAAAACAACGAACTACAAAGATTGAATGCAAAATGTTAAACAATGCCACTCTTCTCATTAAATATGTTTTGTTTTGGAAAAACAGTTACTTTTAATCAAAAGTATGTTATTTACGTTACGTGCAATTAGTTTATTATTTTCAAATGAGTTAATAAACATTTTTAAATTCCTCCGTTTAAATTTCTAAAATGACAAATATAAAATACATAACACAAGCAATTTGGGAATCCTCCATAATTTTTAAGAGTTTAAAAGTATCCCTGAAGCCAAGAACTTCAGGAACCATTAATCTTTCCCATAAGTTCTGCTTGGAAAACTGTGTTAAGAAGGATCTGAGGCTTCATCTGAGCTTAGCAGAGAAAGTATAATGGTCACCTGTCCCACCCAGTCCATCCTTGCCCACCTCTGGAGAAGACCGGCCAATGTCAGGTAGAGTGAGCGTCAGGGTCAGAGGGAAGAAGCTGGGTGGCAGGGCCAGGCAGGTCTGACCTACCGCCCACGGCTGACTCACCGCTCCTTCCTGAGCAGCTCCTGGCTGATGAGGACCAGCTGGCCCGAGGCGTCGTGGGTCTTCCGGGACACGGCCTCCAGCTCCGCCTCCAAGCGCCGCTTCTCTTTCTGGAGGGTGTCCACCTTCTTCTCCCCCGACTTGCACTTGCTCTCCAGTGCTGAGGTCAGCCAGCAGGAAAGAGGGAGAGGGTCAGGATCACCATGCAACTCTGTCCCACTCGAGGATCAAGGCCCAGGCAGGGAGCCAGTTTTCTTGGGGGGGGGGTCACAGTGACACACTCCACTGAGTGGGTCTCTCGTCCTGCAGAGCCAGGCAGCTAGGGGCTGAGAGAAGAGCCAAGCAGAGAAGCCCAGGCCTGTGGTGGCGGGAAGCAGTCCACCTTTCCCGAGACGGGACCCGTGTCACACTGCTGCCGAACAAGGAAAAGCTCCAGCTGCACCTTTGCCTTGGAGGAATCTGAGGTCAACTGGCCTCTGTTGGAACCAACTGTGCCACGTGAACGTGATGGGAACTAGAGAGACGTGGCGGGAGGAACCATTTCCCAGGATGGGGGCCGTCTCACGGACACCACCACTGGCACTCTGGCAGACAAGAAGCAGTGCCGGTTTGTCACCGAATCACAAATGCCAGGCCCCTGCCTCACGCCAGGCTCCCCTCTGCCCTCACTTCCCCTGTGCCTTGCTCTCCGCTGCGGCCGATGTCCTTCCCCCATTCCTACCCCCTGGTACTTCCTCCAGGGCCCGGGGGCAGACAGACTGTATCAGAGTGGCCCGTGGGAAGCCAGAACGACCTGATGGAATTTCAGAACAGAGTGGCCACTGGTGAGAGAAGCTGGCTGGGGTCCCCAACTATATTATGGACCATGAGAGGGCCACTATTCCCCCACTCACTACTGCCGCGTAGGTGGGCTGCCCAGGCCACGTTCACCTCGCGGCAGAGTGCGGGAGGACCTGACCCGTCGCCAACCCTGTCCAGTCTCCACTGTGCGGGCCCCAGTGAAAGGCCCTACCTCTGCCCTGACGGAGGGAGACTTACCACTTACTTGGGCCCTGAGCATCTCAGTCTGGGACGTCAAGGCGGTCACCTCTTTGTCCCTCTTGTTCAGCTTGTCCTGCAGGCCTGGGGGAAAGGAAGATGCGGGCCATTACTTCTCTGGGTTCAGCGCTGCGTCCGGCGGTCGCCGCCCCTCCCTCGGGTAACCCACTCTGAATGAGGCTCCGGGACTGTGTGGTCTCAGACAACTGAACTGTTCCTTGGCAAACAATGGAGATAATAATAACGATGCCCATGCCAAAGGCCATGTGCATACTGGCAACTTCAGAGCAGCTGTAAAAAGATAATGCATGGGAAGTGCCAGACACGCAGTAACTTTCCAGAAGTTAATTTGTAAATTTAATGTAATACCAATACAAATACAAACAAGGTTTTAATGCTTGTAGAACTAGATAAGCTGATTCTAAATCTCTTGGAAAAATAAGAATAGCCAAGGGAGTTTGGCATACACTTCCTCAGAGTTAATCACAGAACTACCATATACCCCCCAGAATAGGCACTAAACAAGTACCTGGATATGCATGTTTATAGCAGCATTATCCACAATACCCAAAAGGGGGAAAAAAACACTGGTCGCATAGCTCAGCTGGTTAGAGCATCGTCCTGATATGCCAAGGTTGTGGGTGTGACCTCCGGTCAGGGCACATAGAAGAATCAACCAGGCCCAGCCGGTGTGGCTCAGTAGTTGAGCGTCGACCCAGGCACCAAGAGGTCGCCAGTTCAATTCCTGGCCAGGGCACATGCCCAGGTTGTGGGTCGAATCCCTAATGGGGGGCATGCAGGAGGCGGCCAGTCAAAGTTCTCTTTCGCCGATGTTTCCCTCTCTCTCTCCCTCCCCCTTCCTCTTTCTCTCTCTAAAATCAATAAAGAAAAAAAATTAAAAACAAAGAATCAACCATAAATAAGTGGAATAACAAACTGATGTTTCTCTTCCTCTCTTTCTCTAAAATCAATCAACAAAAATTAAAAAAAAAAAAAAAGACGGAGCGTGCCTAAATGTCCATCAACAGGTGGACGAGGAGAGGAAATGTGGCACATGCATACGGTGGAATATTACTCAGCCACAAACAGGAGTGAAGCACTGACTTGTGCTACAACATGGGTGAACCTTGAATTTATTATGCTACGTGAAACAAGCTGGACACAAAAGGCCACATACTGTAAGATTCTATTTTTATGAAATGTCAAAAAATAGGCAAATCCAGAGATAGAAAGCACAGTAGTGGTTGTCAGCGGCTGGAGGGAGGGGACATGAAAATGTTTTTGAAGTTGACAGAGGTGATGGTTGTAAAATGTTGTAAATGTACTAAATGCCAATGAACATTTGCTTTAACTTTAGGTCATATTAATTTTTCCCCAATTAAAAAAAGAAAATGGCCTGGCTGAAGTGTCTCGGTTGGAGCGTTGTCCCATGCACCGAAAGGTTGCTGGTTTGATTCCTAATCAGGGCACATACCAGGGTTGAGGGTTTGATCCCCAGTTGGGGCATGTACGAAAGGCAAACAATCGATATTTCTCTCTCACACTGATGTTTCTCTCTCTCCCTTCCTCCTTCTCTAAACTAAATTTTAAAAATTATAGAATTGGCACATGAACAGATAGAAAGGTCATTGGAAAGGAACAGACAGTCCAGAAATAGTTACATAAGGGAATTTAAAAATAATAAGTTTCGCAATTCAAATCAGTAGGGAGGGGGAGATAAGTTTTTCAAATATAGTGTTGGACAAGTGGGTACTCATTCAGGAAAAAAATAAAAATGAATCCTTACCTCATACCTTATAGAAGGATAAATTCTAGATAGATCAGAGATTTTCTTTAAAACATTTTCTTCTTTATTGATTTTAGAGAGAGAGGAAGGGAGAGGAAGAGAGATAGAAACATCGATGAGAGAGAACAACTGGTCGCCTCCTGCATACCCCCCACTGGGGATTTGGCCCACAACCTGGGCAGGTACCCTGACGGGGAATCGAACTGGTGACCTCTTGGTGCGTGGGTCAACACTCAACCACTGAACCACATTGGCCGGGCTGGATCAGAGATTTAAACATAGAATTTGAAACTAAAAAGTACTAGAAGAAAACATGGGACACATTTATAAAAACAATAAATCCGGAGCCAAAAATATAAATAAATAAAAGTTCGATTTAAGAAAATTTGCATAGCAAACACTACTATAAGAAAAGCCAAACCACAAGTGGGGGGGCATGTTTGTAATATCATATATAAGGAGTTTCTAAAAATGAACAAAAGATCAATAACCCAGTAGGAAAAAACAGGCAAAGGATGCAAGTAGAAATGGAAATGGCACCTCATTCATTCAAAGAAGGGAAACTGAAATTACATCAGGCAACATCTTTTACTGTTCAGATTGGCAGAGATCACACAGTCTGATGAAACACTGCTGGTGAGGCTTGTGGGGAAACACACTTTCAACCACAGCCAATGGGAGTTAAAATTGGTGGAGCCCAAGGAGGAGGTAATTCACTGCAGCGTTGTTTGCAATAGACAAAGACTAAAAACAACCTACAATCCATCAGTCGGAAACTAAATACACGATGGTAGCTCTACACAATGGAATATTCTGCACCACGGAAAAGAATGTAGTGCCCTGACCAGTTTGGCTCAGTGGTTGAGCATCAGCCCTCAGACTGAAGGGTCTCTGGTTCGATTCCCAGTCAAGGGCATGTTCCTGGGTTGCAGGTTCAATCCCTGGCCCTGGTTGGGGTCATGCGGCAGGCAACAAATCAATGTGTCTCTCTCACATTGATGTTTCCCTCTCTCTCTCTCTCTCTTTCCCTCCCTTCCACTCTATCTAAAAATCAGTGGAAAAATATCCTTGGGTGAGGATTAACAACAACAAAAAGAATGTAGTGAAAAGGGGGAACATCTGTAATATTTTCAACAATAACTGTAATATTTTTAACATAAAAAATATGTAAAATAAATAAATTCTGAGAGACTTTGTGTCTTTAAAGAGAAGCATTCTTGCCCTGGCCAGTTTGGCTCAGCGGTTAAAGCATCGGCCTGCGGTCCGGAGAGACCTGGGTTCGGTTCCCGCTAAGGGCATGTACTTCGGTTGCAGTTTGTCCCCGGCCCTGGTTGGTCGTGCGGGTGGCAGCCACTCGATGTGTCCCTTCACGTCGATGTTTCTCTCTCTTCCTCTCTCTCCCTCCCACTCTATCCGTACAAAAAATGGAAAAATATCCTCGGGTGAGGATTAAAAAAAAAAAAAAAAAGAGAAGCATTCTTCTTAAAGGAGAAATACTGTGATTGTTTTCATGTTAAACTTGCACCACACATGATAGCTGCTGACAAGGCTAATGTGACAGAATTTACCTGGGAGATGTCAAATCAATGATAAAAAATACAAAAATATTTTTAAATGAGCAAGCAACTTAATTTTTTAAATATGGAAACTGTGATTATGTACAGAGGACTAAAGTGTGTACTGCAAATATATCAGAACGAATACAAATATTATCAAGTGCACAATTAATAAAAATACTATATAATTTTAATTTTTTTTTTTATCCTCACCCGAAGACATTTCTCCATTTTTTGTTCAGATAGAGTTGGAGGGTGGGAGAAGAAGAGACAGAGAGAGAAACATCGACGTGAAAGGGACACATCGAGTGGCTGCCTCCTGCACGACCTATCCAGGGCCGGGGACAAACTGCAACCGAGGTACATGCCCTTAGCAGGAACTGAACTTGGGTCTCTCTGGACCACAGGCCGATGCTCTACCCACTAAGCCAAACTGGCCAGGGCTATAATTTTAAAAATAGTTCAAAATGTATATTATTCTTGTCCCAGTATTAAAATTATAACCTTTGATCTTATTTGCAGAAAAAACAATTACAAAAAAACAAACAAAGCCTTGGCCAGTTTGGCCCATTGGTTAGAGCGTCGGCCCACGGACCAATGAGTCACAGGTTTGATTCCAGTCAAGGGCATGTACCTCGGCTGAGGTTTGTCCCTGGCCCTAGGGACAAACCGGTCAATGTGTCTCTCTCACATCGATGTTTCTCTTTCTCCCTCCCTCCCACTCTATCTGATAATAAATGGAAAAATATCCTCAGGTGAGGATTAAAAGACAAACAAAAAATCACGAATTGCCTGGCCAGTGTAGCTCACTGGTTGAGCATTGACCCATGCACCAAGAGGTCACCAATTCGATTCCTGGTCAGGACACATGCCCAGGTTGTGGGTCCGATCGCCAGTGGTGGGCATGCAGGAGGCGGCCCATCGATGTTCTCTCTCATTGACGTTTCTATCTCTCTCTCCTTTCCCCTCTCTCTAAAATCAATAACAAAATATTAAATAAATATAAAATTAAAAACAAAAGAAAACCACAAATGTAGTGATAAGAGTCTCCAAGATACATTATTAAATGGAAAAAAGGAAGGGGCAGAGCAGAGTGGGGTACGGCACCATCTGGTACCCATGTACTTGTGTGTTTGTGTATAAATTCTCTGCACTGGGACAGAAATCGGCCAACACTGTGCCTTTGGGAAGGGAACCAGGGAATGGCGGACCCTTCACCTTATGCCCTTTGGACCATTTGTAGCTTATACCTATTTTTAAAGTAATGTAAACCAAACGAGAACGAGGTATGCCCAGCACCCCATAAACAGAGCGGCAGCCCTCCTCACCCGGGTGAGTGGCTCGTGCATGCAGCAGGCGCCTCTCAGCAATGGCAGATGATGCAAAACCAAGTGGCATCCAGCTCAGAGGCAGAACCAACCATCCTGTCCCCACGCCCTGTCCCGCCTGCCCAGCGGCCACTCACCCTCCACAGTCTCCTTCATCCTGATCTTCTCCCCTGAAATGTCGTTCGACTCAATCATCTGAAAGGAGAGGCCTGTAAGGGAGAAGCCTGCCTCCCATCTCCGCCCCCACTCCAGCCAGCCCCGCAAGCAGACCACACCCCTGCACTACACACGGGGACTTGCTGTGGCAGGGAGCACAGATGTCCTTGATATGGCCCCCCTGACAACAGCGGACCCCCTCCTCTGCTCCCGTCACCCCAAGGCTGCTGTGTGGCTTCCACGGGAACACTTCCTACCCCTTCCTCTGTTGAAAATGTCTATTATACTAAACAGATGCCTCCTTCCCTGGGACGCCTACAGAGGTTGGTCCTGGGAATCTGTTTCCATCAACATCCAGAGGCAGGATTGCAGCCTCGGTTTCCCCGCCACGAAACGAGGTCTGACTGCCACGGGCAGCGTGTGCGGGGCACGCCCAGGGCCGGCTCCCAGAGGGACTTCAAGAAATGCCACCTCCTCTCTCTCCAACACTTCTTTTAAGCAATGAACCCAGAAGCCGAAGAAGAAAAGGTAAAGGGGAAGAAAATCTGGGCAAACAACTGGCTCCTTACTGCTTCCTCCTCCAGAGGCTCCTGGCCTCCCGCCCCGGCTGGCTGTCCCGAGCCTGCAGTTCGCCGCCGGTCACACCGCGATGAGCACGGCAGGCGCCTCCATCAACCTGCCCCTCCACTTCGCAGACATCCCAAGCCCCACTGTAGCCTCGGCTAGTGATAACTAAGCCCCTAGGCCTCTATTTACAAACACTGCGGGGACAACGAGGCACACACTAAAACATTTTTTAAAAATTCTCATGCTTGCTACATGAGGCCCAAAATCCAGTTGTCCCTGGACATGTGGGTCCAGACTGAGACCCCAAGTGTGTGGAAGTCAAGAGAGGTCTTCCGTGGTCACTGCCCAGACCTCAGCCCCAGGTCGGAAACAGGAGCAGCAGGCACCCTAAGGCCTCTGCCCCCCATGCTCCGTGGAGCCCCAGCAACCCCACCTCTCCTGCTAAGGGAGCCCGGGTCTGGGGTCCCAGGCCTGACCCCCTGCCCTGAGAAGCTGATCAGGCCATGTGCACACGGGCTAACCTGGGGCTCCCCCTTCCCTCCGCCCAGCATCCTGGGAGAGCACTTGCTAAAACCTGCCGCTGCTCAGACAAGGGGCCGGGAGCTGCTGCGGCGGGACCTCACGACACGGCACAGGCACCCTTTCCTAGAACCCCTGAAAACGGACCACAGGAACGCTAAATTCTAGTGTGGAAGTACAGGGGACCAGAAGCTCCGAAACCGCTGGGCCTGTGAAGGGCAATGATCATGCTGCTAGCTGTCCCTTCACAGAAAACTTGACTTTTGTCATGCCGGGCACCCTGGCAGCCCTCCGGCAGCAGGGCTGGGTACCACCTCTGCCGCTGGTGGGCAGAAACCCTGAGAAGGTATTCCATCCTGAGGACTTGTTGGGATCATCCATAAAATGGAGCCAGCGCTGACCTTGCAGGAGTGAAAGTGAAATGAGGCAACACCGGGCCAGGCACAGGGTGCGGTGCCCAGAGCCACTCAAAGGAGTGAACACAGCCGCAGTCTGGGCCTCCTGCGTGTGCTCAGCTGGGAAGCCCAGGAGCAAGGCTGATTGATACTGGTGGCAGTAGCCTCTCCAGGGCCACCCCTCCAGCCTTCCAGATCCCACTCCAGGGACCCCACACTCTGGGGAAGTGACCGCTGGACTGCTGTTCCCCAGTCTCATTAGGACTAGCAGGAAGAGGGATGCCCTCAGATCCCCTAGGTCGAGTTGGAGATGGGAGCCCCGGGAATGGGCAGGACTCGTCCTCCACGTCCATGCCAGCCACATGGCACAGGAGCCTGCACAGGGCATATCTGGGCATATCAGGGACTTGGGGATGGGGAGAAAGCCTCTTCTCTATTCTGAGGTGCATCTCTCTCCAGGCCTGGTCTGTGGGGGCCCCAGCCAGGTCAGCTCAGACCACCTTGGGTCCCCACAGTCACCCAGGCCAGCTGCCCTTCTGACAGAGGGACAAGAGGCACCTCCTCTGAGCCTGGTGCCCCCAGATCTCAAATGGGCATGTACCTGGAGGCAAGGAGAACGTTTCCTGGACTGGAAAAGAGAGATCAGTAAACACCCAGGCCCTCCCCAGCTGGCCCTCAAGCCCGAGCTGCTGTTGCCCGTGGCCCCCGCACAGCCCAGCAAGAAGGGTGCTGCGTACGTTGGTGTGCTGGGACGAGCACAGGGACTCGACAGCCTGGAGTCTGTTTTCAGCGACCAGCAGCTTATCCCGCAGCCTCTCGGCCTCCTGCTTGCTCTGGGCCTCTGACCGCTGCAGCTGCTCATAGTCCAGCATCTTCTTCTCAGCCAGGGAGATCTGCTCCTTGAGGAACTCGATGGCCTGCGCCTGGCCCCGGTACTCTGCGTCCAGCTTCTCCAGCTCATGCACCCGCAGCTCGGCGTCGCGGCGCTGGTCCTGGGTCTCCTGCAGCTCCAGCCGATGCTGGCTGGCCTGCACCTCCAGCTGGGCCCGCCAGTGCTGCTGCAGCCCGGCCAGCTCCTCCTGGGCCTCCTGCAGCTTCTGCCGCAGGCCCTCCTTCTCCTTCACGTGCATGGCGGTCTCGATGTCGTGCTTGGCGCGCAGGTTGCCCAGCTCCAGCTGGTGCTCCATCTTGATGCCCTCCATCACGGCCTTCAGCTCCCCAATTTCCTTCTGCTGGGCGCCCGGGCCTGAGTTCAGGGTGGCCTTGAGGTCCTCCAGGGACTTCTGGTGGTCCGAGGCCAGCGAGTCCAGCTTGGACTTCCAGTTGTCCATGAGCCCCATGTTCTCACTGGTGGCCTGCTGGACCTTGGCCTTGAGGTCCACCACCTCCTGTGCATACTTCTCGTTGGCAGCCCGGAGCTTCTCCACCTCCGCCTGGTAGGCCCTCAGGGCCTTCTCATACTTGTCCCGCAGCACGCCGCTCTCCCTCTGGTGCTCCTTGCTGGCCGACAGCAGCCGCTCCCGCAGCCGCAGGGTCTCCAGCGCCTCAGGGTGGTCAGCGGGGGGTGGGCCCGAGTGCAGCAGGCATTGCTGCAGCTCCTCAATCTCCCCACGCCGCAGGTTCAGCTCCTCCTCCAGCTGCAGCACCCGTGACTTCTCGGCCACTGTGGTGAGCTACCGGGGAGAGAGGGAGGCAGGGGTCAGCAGGCTAGCAAGGGGGATGCAACAGGGGATGGGGGGCTTCCTCACCACTCAACGGCCCCAGCCCCAGTGGGGAAGGTCATGATAAGGGGAGGGCGTCCAACCCTACCTGAGTGCTGGCTTTTCTCAGTAGCCTTGCCCACCACAGCTCCAGAAAGACCACCCTGGCTTGTATTCTCCCCACCCCGCAGTGATTCAGGGAGTCAACTGTCCCCCTACACTAGGTTTGGGACGTATCGGTGGTTAAAAGAAACCACCTATTTGAGGTAGTGGCTTTCTTTCAGTTCACATGAGTTTTACAGGCAGAAACAAGCGGGAATCCGCATCGCCCTGCTCTGGAAAGCCCCCAGCTAGAATGGGTGGATTCCGGGGGCTGTCTGGAGGGGTGGCCAAGCAAGGGCCGGCTGAAGGCCTGAAGCAGAACAAAATGCCTGCTCGCAGACCTGCCCCCTCATGGGAACGCAGCAGAGATCCCCCCTCCAGAAACCCACACCTCGATCGCGTCAGTGGTCACAGATTTGGAAACAAAATATTTAAAAGTTTTAAATCTTTTACAAGCTTAAAAAATGCTGTCACTGAAGCTGACCTTTAGTTCAATAAACCTGTTTTTGTTTTTTCGATCAGGTTGAACCCTAGAGTAAGACGCCTTGCTGTGGAAGGCTCCAGCCTGTCAACCACGACTGGGTCAGTCTCTGTGCACACGCGTGTGTAAGGCACGAGCACGCACCGTCATTGGGCAGCCGTGTGTGCGTGTGGTGACCTCTGTGTCTCCAGAGGCCCACCACAGGCACACACTCCCTTGTGCTGAGGCCAGTGTGCAGAAACTGACCACTGCTCACGCACACCCGCACGCTGCTCACGCCCCGCCACTGCTCGCTGCCAGAACTGCAGCCGGGCTGTCCCCTGGGCTGGCGGGTCAGCCGCTGGATGTGTGTGCTGCACAGGGGCCGGTGCAGGACTTAGGAGCTGCGGAGGGGCCAGCTGGGCCTGAAGCCTGAACTTGGAACCAAGCCTGAGGCTTGGGAAGAACTCACCCCAGACAGACTTTCCCTAGCCGAGACCTGCTCCCTGGCCCGTCATTTCACAACCGCCACACCCTGGGCTGGCACAGGGGACACCCCCACTCCGCTAACCCCAGGTCCTTCAGGGGGCCCCTCCTACCATCATATTTAAGACTCCCCAGGCTACAGTCCCCCAACCTCCAGCCTTCCCCAGCTGGGAGAAGGGATAGGCTGTCTCCGTGTCTACCCAAAGAAGGCAGAATGTTCCCAAGAGACCCCCGATTTCTGAACATGACAAAGCCATGTCATGGCAATGCATGGGGAGGAAGGAAGGCAGAGGGTCTCCCAGGACATTCCCAGCCACGGGGACCAGCTGAGAGCAGTCACGGAGGCCAAGCCCTCTCCTCCCCGTAGGCAACGGTGGCTGGGGTGTAAGTACGTTTCTGACCCTCCACTTTCCTCCTAGAAAGGGCGCGAAAGGAAAAGAAAAAAAAAACAAAAAACAATGAGGACAGCAGTGAAGGACAGAGAAAATAATCAAACAGAGGAGCCCAGGGGTGTCCACGGGCCAGGGCTCTGGCGGCTGGAGGCGGTGGGCGTGTTACCCTGTTGTCGGCTAATTCTCGGAGCAGCCGCTCGGCCTGCGCCTTCTCCAGTAGCAGGCTCTGCTCCAGCTCCCCAATGCGCGCGTGCTCCAGCTGCGTCTGGGTCTGGGCCACCCGGGCGGGTGGGGAGGTAGGGACAGGGCAGAGGGCACAGGGAAAGGAAGCCGGAGGAAGAGAGAGAAAGAGAGAGAGAGGCGGCGTCATCTACCATGAACAAGACAGGAAAACAGGTCAAGGAGAGGAGGTGGCCCAGGGAAAGAGAGGTCTGGGGAGGTGGGCCTGCCTCCTGCCCCAGCGTCCCGGCCGGGTTTCCTAAGGGCAGAGGACAGGCTACAGCACCCTGCCCAGGCTGGGAGGCAATGGGCACCCTGGGTCCCTTTTGTCACCTGCAGGAGGCCCTTGCCCTTGCAACTCTGGGGAAGGGCCACACCCTGCTCCCAGTCCCCACAGGGACCCTGAGGGCTGTTCCTCATGCCAGGCACAGGCTCCTGCACACAGGAGGCCACCAGGATGGAGAAATAAGTAAAGGACCCCAGGGTTCCTGGCCCCAGGCCTGTGCTGAAGGTGAACAAACCGAATGAAAGGTTTTCACAAATATACCCACACCATCCTAATCCTCCCAGCCTGGCCTCCCTCGTGGAGGCTGAGCTGTGCCTCCCACTGCCCGGCCCCAGCCCAGCCCTGTCAGTCCCACCCCCCACGGCCCTGCAGAAGACTGAGGACGCCTGGTCTCCCGAAAGCACAAGGGCATTTTTGTCCCAGCTTCACAACCCCCACTTCACACACTAACAAAGCCTGACATTCTCCGGGCATCCAGGCTGGCATGTGGGTTTCCCATGACAGATCTGCGAGCACCCGGAGCAGTATGGAGGCCAAGTTCAAGGTAGGGGGAAGCAAGAGGCTCCTCCTTATCCTCCGCTTGACCCATCGTCATCCAGGAGAAACAAGGGTAAAGCAAGTCTGTGTGGCAGTTCTGAAGAGCTTAGCACACAGCATATACTCAGAAAAAAAAGAATACACACCCAACAGGAGCAGGGCTGATGGAGGCCCTGTAAACGGATACCACTCGTCCCAGAAATGCTCCTGCAATTCATCAAGAGCTACCAAGATGTCCATGTCCTTTGGCCTGTGACCTTATTTCTGTGAATTTCCCTACAAGAGCAACCGAGAAGTCTCCCTCTTTCTCTCTCTCAAGGGGGCAGCATGCTGCGGCAGGAACAAGCGCCACGCTCAGTGTCTTTCAGAAAATTACAGGCTGATGATGGTGCCTCAATCCCAGCCTCTCAGGCCACGTCCCGCCCTCCTCTCCCCAGCGGGCACAGTCGCACTGGCCGGAACCCACGCTAGAGGGAGCATGATCATCAATTCCCTACCGGAGGCCCCATGGGCAAGAAAAAGCCCCTGGCTTCACAATTTCAAGGGCAATTTCTTTTGGTACCCCCCAACAGGAGTCTCTCCTTCACTTTCAGAACTTCTAGCCCCCTGGTCCATGGGCTGGGGGTCTTTGTGGGGGCACAGGGGAGCTCAGTGGAGTTGCTTCCCTAATTAAGATAAATTCAACTGGCCCTAGCCGGGTAGCTCAGTTGCCTAGAGGGCTGGCCCAATACACCAAGGTTGCAGGTTCAATTCCTGGTCAAAGCATATACAAGAATCAACTAATGAATGCATAAATAAGTGGAACAAATCAATGTTTCTCTCTCTCTTTAAAGATCAATCAACCAATCAATAAAGATAAATTCAACTTGGGTGGGGCAGCTTTAGAGGTTAGATTTTAGGCAGGGAGGACAATTTGGCCTTCCATTCGGCTCCAGGGACACTGCCCAGGGCCAGAGGAGTGGAGGCCACCACACTTCTGTTTCCGTCACTGCCAGGTCCCCTGGAGTTAATGTTCTTAAAACCACATCAAGGCAGCCTCCCCACCCTGCAGGAGAGAGGTCACTCCAGAGAGAAAGCCTCAGGCTCAGAATCAACCTCGGGCAGCACAAGGTCCAGACTCAGACTGCAGGACCCCAGAGCAGGCGCCTTTCCCTGAACCAGCCTGACCCCACAGAGGGGAGGCAAGGTTTCGGGCAGCAACCCGGAGCAGTGAAGGAGGCTCCTGAAGTGGGGGACTCCGTCTCTCTGCCCCGATTCCAGTCCTGGAAGATCAGTCCAGCCCGCCTGAGTCCCTGACCTGCAGCTTCACATGAACGGAGTCTACCCCACTCCAGAGCACAGCTGCGTCCTGCACGTTACTGTTATTATTATTAATTAAATGAGGAAGGAGTTTCCCCGACTGCACGAGGGGCCCTGATGGTCAGGGGCACACTCTCCTTTTGATGTCCCTTCAGGCCTCACACCAAATCCTTCTCAACAGATAGCTGATTCTGAGTCCATAAAACTGGCTCTTTCTGTTATAATGGGTATTCCCATGCAAATGAAAAATAACACCGAGGGGCTGTTTAGTTAGCAAAACAATAGCCTGAAACCTGGTGGCAGGGAGTCGCACAGGTTCCATGGTGCAAATGGCAACACCCATTTGAGAACCACAAACACATCCCAGCCTGTGGCCCAGGATCCCACTCCTGGAGAAGCACCTGTCCCTGCTCCAGCATTGGGGACATAAATGTAAATAAGACAGGCAGGGTCCCCACCCCCAAGGGGCTCACACTCGAGGGAAGGATGCAAACAATAAGTCATTAGTGAAGGTAACTTCGGTTGTGACCGGAATTAGGAATAGCACCGGTGCAGGGCAGGCAGGATGGAGGTAAGACAAGGAGGCAGCAAAGGCCTCCCTAAGAAAGGATTTAAGGTGAGCTCTGAAGGAGAAGCAGGGACCAGCTGACCCAGGCAGGGGGTGGAGGGGAAGTGAGTGTTTCAGGCAAGGTGGCCAGAGCTTGGGGTGCCCCGGAAGCAGAGAGGGGCCCTCTGTGCCTGGAGCAGAGGTGTGCGGCAGGGCTGGGTCCCCAGGGTCTTCCCTGGGCCATTCGACAGAGCCTGGCTTTTATCTAGGGCAGTGGCTCGAGATATGTGAGCAGAACAGGGATAGGATCTCATTTACATTTTTTAAAGATTTGGTCATGTGTCTGCGGTTTGCTTCAGAATAACACGAGGGGACTGGGGGGGAGGAGGTATGGCTGAAACAAGCCATGAGCTGAAAATCACTGATGCTGGGTGATGTGTAAATGGTGGTTCATGACATCATCCTCTACTTACTTAGAGGCGCAAAAATTTCCAATGTTAAAAATAAAAGGTGTTGGGGTGGAGGAAGAAAAAAGAGACAGAGGACTCATGGACATGGACGGCAGTGTGGCGAGCGGGGGAGGGGTGAGTGGAGGTGGAAGAGGGTATAGAGGGGATAAATGGTGATTCAAAAATAAGATAAATAAAAATGAAGAGATATTTTAAAAAGTCCATCTGGCTTCGGTGTGAAGAATGGACAGTTGAGGACTCGGAGCGGAGCCGGAGCAGCCCCACAGAGGCAAGGCGCTGTGGCCTGCCCAGGAAGGCGGCCAGGGGGACGAAGATCATTTTGGCGGCAAGGTCAAAAGGATTTCTGAAGGAGGGATAAGGGAAAGAGAAGGTTCAAGATGGAAATGAGCTGCGGAGCCTGAGCAACTGTGTGGATTGTGGGCCAACTGTGAGATGGGAAAGGTAAGGGGTGGTGTTAGGGGGAGACAGGGACAATGGAGAGATCTGTTTGAGACATGTTACATGTGGGCCCCTGTACTGGGTTGAATAGCATCCCCCCACACTTCATACCCACCTGGAACGTCAGAATGTGACCTTGTTTGGAACGGGGTCTTTGCACATGTAGTTAGCTCAGAGGAGGTCATACTGGATTAAGGTGGGCCGGAAACCTTATGAGAAGGTCATGTGATACACCCAGGAACACACAGGAAGAAGCCGTGTGATGATGGAGGCAGCGCTGCAGCGACAAGCTGAGGGCATCCAGGGTTCCAGCAATCGCCCAGAGCTGGGAGAGAGGCCCGAACATTTCCTGCAGGGCCTCCAGAGGGAATGACCTTGCCCACACTTTGATTTCAGACTTCTGGCCTCCAGAATTGTCAAAGAATAAATCTGTGTTGTTTTAAGCCACCGAATTAAAATAATTTTTTTTTGTTTGTTTTTACTGCAGCCCCAGCAAAGTGCTACAGATGCTTGTCACTTACTTGTCCTGGTGGAGATGTCCGGCAGGCGTGCCAGCGCAGAGCTCGGGAAGACTAGGGAATAATGGGCTTATAAAGGGCATTTAATGTCACAAACTAGGAGCTCTCAGGGAGAGTACAGACCAAGAGGCAAACGGGCCCAGGCTGAGCCCTTGGACAGGCCAACATCAGAGGTCGGGGAGGAGGCTGAGAGGCTGGGATGGGGCACCTCACGTGGCTGGGGGAGTGAGGTCAGGAGGAGGACAAGCAGAGAGATGGGGTAATATAGCTGGAGTGGGCCAGGAGTTCTGAGTTTTATTTTTTACTTTTAAAATGAGTGAGGATGAATGGAACTTGGGTCAGTTTGCCTTTGGGTTACTAGGAATATGGTCACAATAATAAACAGCAGCAACAGGACTCTATTGCCCTTGGCCTGAATTAGCTGTCAGTCATTGTCTGCCCCACCCACTGCCTCTCCCAGTAAGGACCAATTGGATCTGGGGTGGATGCTGATCTAAAGTCAGCCAGCTCATTGGCTAGCCTGAGACCAATCAGATTCACTTGAGAGGACAGCTAATAGATGGTGGATGCTGGAGCCTCAGTGGGGCCAGGAATCTGGGTGATAGGGAGAGGGAGCAGATGTGCCAAGGGACATGGAGACACAGCGAGAGAGACAGACAGACACGAAGCCTGACCACAAGTCATGAGAAGGAGACCCCTGAGCAGGAAAGAACGGGCTTGGATCCTAATGTTTCTTTTCTATGTTTTTTTTTTTTCTTTTTTATTGATTTTAGAAAGAGGAAGGGGGAGAGAGAGAAACACTGATGTGAGAAACATTGATTGGTTACTTCCTGTATGCGCCCTGACTGAGGATCAAACCCGCAACCTGGGTATGTGCTCTTACTGGGAATGGAACCCGCCACCTTTTGGTGTACAAGGTGATGCTCCAACCAAGCCACAGCGGCCAGGGCCTAATGCTGTTTCTTGTTCCAGTTCCCTGAACTGCCTGTGAGAGTTCTCTGCAGCCTTTCTCCCTGTTGACTGGAGTTCGCAGGAGGGGCCTCTGTTCCTTGCACCTACAGGCACTTTTCCCAGAAACCCCCACAAGCCCCGCAGGAGGCAGCCATCCAGTGGGAAAACCAGCCAAACATAACCATATGACCTGCCCCCTTGGCTAAGAGGAAAACATCCACGAGAACACCCTGATGCTGGGCTGGGGCTCGTACACCAGGCTGTACCCTGACATCCGCCCTTTAAGCTCAGGAAGCAAAACCTGCTCCAACAGGGGCAGCTGCCAGTGACCCTACACAGATTATACATGTCCCTCCCCTGGATGGAATCATCTAGGGGACAGGACAGCCATTCGCATGCTTTTGCTGTGTATTGGAAGTCACAGGGGTCTTTTACAGTATCAGAAACTTCAATTTTCTATTTGAGCTCAAAATGACCTAGTGCAGTGATGCCCAAAGTGTGGTCTCTAGATCAGCATCACCTGGGAGCGTGTTACAAACACAAATCTCAGCTTCCACCCGGATCAGCTGAATGGCCACTCTGAAGCTGGGGCCAGCTTTCTGTACCTGAACAAGCCATCCAGGTGACGGATTCTCAAGTCTGAGGATCACTGACCTAGTTCAACCTCTTCATTTTGCAGTAGAGCAAACTGAGGCCCGGGAAGGGAAGAGGCTGCCCAGGGCCAGTCAGGGCAGGTCAGCATGTGGGGAGGGACTGATTCCCTGTCCCCTGCTCCATCTGCCAGCTCCAGGAGTCTGACAGACCCAGCTGTGGCCTTGCGAGCCCAGTCGTCTCCGCATGGTTTAGTGAGGAGGGCTGGGGTGGGGAGGGGTGGAGTGCCTTACTGACTGATGTGAGCACCCCCTCTCTCAGCTCAGAAAGGGTAATTTGGATTGAAGAGTGAAGGTCCACCTGTGCCCAGACCACTTGTCCAGGTGTTCTAATTGGCCATCCTTTTGGGCTGAGCTCAGGAATCAGGAAGCCTGGTCTCGGGTCCCAGACGCTGCTGACTTGCTCTATTACTGGGTGAGTCCATTTGCTTTTCTGAGCCTGTTTTCCCATCTATAAGTTCTGTGACTCAACAAGTGAATTTTAGCCAAAATTTTGCCTGGAATCTAAGATGAACTAAGGGCCCAAGGGTCACCTTTAGGGCTATTACCCAATAATGCTGGGACTGGGGAGTCCAGTTAATATGTCCTTAGGCCCAGCTCTGCGGATACACTTGGTCCATCCCGCCCAGTGGCCAACACAAGAAGTACAGCCCCTCAGGCTCCTGGAGCCTAGCCATTCCCACTTATGACACCTGAGTCTCTCATGACCACCCCCTCCCACTTGCCCAGGATATGACCTTTCACCCTTCTTGATTTCTCCCTCAAAATCCCCACAGCCCCCTCCCAGGGGGCCCGGAGTTGCTTCCTGGACCTCATTGCCATTTGCCCTACAAAGACTGGGCCTGCGGTGCCAAGCAAGCCAGGGGCAGGGCCTTTGACTGTTACCTCCAGGTCTCCCTTGGTGATGGACTCCTCCTCCACTCGGAACTGCAGGTCCTCCACTTTCCTGCGGGGGGAGATGGATCTGAGCAGGCCTTGCCCAGATAGGTGGGCTTCCCCAGGTCAGCAATAGCAGAGGGGCAAGGCCACAGATGGCCCCGAACCCACGCTCAGACCACACATAAGGCGCTGTCCCAGGGGAGCAGACACCTGCCCAGAGCTTCATAACTGACGGGGCAGAACCCCTGCAAATCTCCAGCCCTCCCAACTTCCTGACCTGTGCTCCACGCAGAGACCACCAACTTCTCTAAAACAGGCGTGTTTAATGCAGCATCCTTCCTCCCCAGGGTGGTTGTGGGAGTACATGATGGAATGATTGTAAATGGAAGCAGAGTGATGCTTGTGACCACTGTTGTCATCACTGCAGGGAACAGGCACTGCCACATTGAACAGTGTGTGTGTGGGGGGGGGGGCAGGGAAGGAAGATAGGCTTCTTCCCCTGCTGACCCTGTGCTCATCCACAAGCCTCAAATATCAGGGCCAGAGTCCCAATCCTCACTGCTCCCTGAGGTAGATGGCACCAGCCTCAGGGAGACACATTCACCACCTTCATGCCAGGGGAGACACAGGCACATTACAGTTCACAAATCTGCTCTTACTGGAGCCTCTGACAGCTCCCAGCATACAGATGAGGAAAACTGAGGCCCAGAAAGGGCAAGTGACCTGCCCAAGGTCACCCAGCCAGTATAGGGCAATGCTGGGACTTGTACCCAGGCTCTTCCTGAACACAACTCTCAAAATGTCTTTAAAATCTGTTTTTGTTTTGTCGGCATCAGGCATGTTGCCATGGGAACCAGATTTGTAGGCCCTGACAAGCATCTCAGGAAGATATAAATAAGCCCTCCCCTCCCCAGTCAGATGGTAACAAGAGTCTGTGGAGCATATGCCTGGCTGAAAGCCCCAAAGCAGACCCGTGGTGGGGAGCTGAGGATGGGGGCTGTATGGGGGAGGGGAGGACGCTGCAGAAATCTGTGTCAGCCAGGAGACAAAGAGAAACCCTCCTGGGACAGGGTTTCCCTGTCAGCTCTGTGTCCCACCAGGTGATTCAGGACCAAACCAGGCCAGAGGACCCACAGAGAGGGAACCACATCCCCACCAGCCACCGTGCCAAGGCAGAAAGAACCAGCAGCACAATTAGGCTGGTGGCCTCGGACAGGTTCCTTTCCTGCTCTGAGCCTTGGTTTCTCATCAGTGACATGAAATAGTAAAACCTGCCTCCTGGGCTCAAGGGCGACTGAGGGGATGCAGGTAAAGCACTCGGCGTGGGGCTGGCGCCCAGGTGCAAGGTGTTTCAAGCATCCTGCTGCTGCTGCTTCTCTAAGCCTCAGTTTCTTGACATGTGAAATGGGAATGGAGTCGGGACAGGAACTATGAGCTCCATGCAGGAAATCTGGCTCAGAGGGGTGCTCCAGTACCTGAGCTGGTTCAGGGGGTGGGGACACTAGGTCTCCTTCACAGTGCATGTCTCCCCAGGGGCGTGGGGCATGAATGCCACCCTGTCCCTAGGGCATTCCCATGACAGGCTGCCCAAGCTGTGTGGGGCAAGAACAGTGAACCCCACACAGGTGGGGAGGATGGTGTCCCCATGTGTTAAGCACCATGTTGGGTGCTTTTCTGGAATTATCTGGTAAGTCCTCCCAACAGTAGAGATGGGGATCATCACCCCACTTTACAGATGAGATGACTGAGGCCCGTAGAGCTCATGCCACTAGTCCAGGAGACAGGAAGCCTGTCAGTGGTGGAGGCAGGATCATCCTTACGGAGTCGTCCTTACGGAGGCTCAGAGGAAATGTCCTCCCAGGACCAGGGCGGGGCAGTGCATACCTCCTCTCCTCCTCCAGCTGGTTGGACAGGTCTACCTTCTCCTTCCGCACGTTCTCCACCAGCAGCCTGGCTCGCTGCAGCTTCTCCTCTGCTTCTGCAACATACTGGTCCCCAGCAAGGGCCAGAAGAGGGTCAGCCTCCTTCTGGGGACTGGGGCCAGGTGGGGGGGTGGGAGGGAGCAGGGGTGGTATGAGGAGTCAGGCCTAGAACCCCAGCCACCCCTACTCCCCTGCCAGCTCTAGGTGGGCATGGACTGTGAGCCTGATATGAGGGGGTGGGCCCAGCTGACTGCCGCACCCAGTGGGAACCTTCTGTCTACCTGCCCCCATACCTAGCACCTCAATATCTACCACCTGCCCAACCCCCAAGGGCCTAAAACACACTGTCTTGTGAAGGACCCTGTCACGGCACACAGGTGAGCTTGGCCTTATCCATTCTAGCACCCCAGAGAGGGGTGAGCTCGCCCCAAATGGGGACAAGGGCCCAGGAGGGGGCTCTCAGGTAGGTGACAGACACCAGGAAGGAATAGACATGTGACGTCAGAAGGCTATGGGCGAGGCTGACTTCCCTGAAACCCAACCCACGAATCTCCTCGAAGGTACAATCTGAAACGTGGACATGAGCATTATTTAGAAGTGAAAAATTGGAAACAATTTTTTGTTGTTTTTGTTAATCTTCACCCGAGGATATTTTCTCCATTGATTTTAGAGAGAGTGGAAAGGAGGAAGGGTTGAGGAGAGAGAGAGAGAGAGAGAAACGTCGATGTGAGAGAGACACATCAATTGGTTGCTTCCTGCATGTGCTTTGACTGGGAATCGAACCCACAACCCTTCAGTGTGTGGGCCAAAGCTCTAACCACTGAGCAACACTAGCCAGGGCTGAAATCGAAAAAATTAAAATAAAGCAGGGGACGGCCACATCAGCAAGAACGAGCAAACGGGGAACTTTCCACGGCTGAGGAAATGCACGCACTGAGGAGGTAGGAGAAAGCAGGAGACAGTTTATATCCAGGTTCTTACAGTGTGTGTACCTATCCACTGGAAGGACGTTCGCCAGGAGGAGGAGGAGTCTGCTCTGCACACCCAAGTTCTCCACTCTGAGTGTGACTGACCTAGGAGCCTGGCCTGGGAGGCTCTTGGTGCCCTCTGGGTGCCCACAGCCCCGCCTGCCACCCACCTGCTCATGCTGCGCCTTGAGCAGGGCGATCTCCTTCTCCACCTCGCAGATGTGGCTCGTGGCCTTGGCCACCTCAGCCCGCTCCAGGTCCCGTTCAGCCAGCAACTGCTCAATGTGCTGCTGCTTCTCCTTCAGCGCCTCCTGCAGAGCAGTCGTGCCAGAGATCTTGCGGGCGTAGCGTGAAGAGGTCTCCGTGAGCTGCGGGAAGGCATGAGTGCAGGTGGGACTCAGAGATCTGGAGTGCCATCCAGATAACCCGAGCTACCCCGCAGATGGCGGCCCAAGTGCCTGGACTCCCCGGGTCCTGTTCCTCACCCTGCTAGTGCCCCTGCCTACTTATGCAGGGGGAAGCATATTATTTCAGGTTCAGGAAACTCCCCCCTGCCAGGAGAGTCATAGCTGGGGCTCTGCCTCATGGTGGGCTCCCTCGTCTGGGCCACCTTCTCCTGGGCCAGGAGGAACCTTCCATCCTAGACTGAGCTTGGACAGAAGGCTCCCTGCCCAGAGGGGCAGCCTCACCTTTCCCCCCACCCAGCGTGGCTGTGGCAACTTCTTTGAAACCCCTGCCCTACCTGTGTGTGACCGTCCTTAACTCCCAGGAAAGGGCTTAAGCTACTGACAAATCAATAATATGAAAATAACAATAATGTAAATGGATCAATTTCCATTATTAAAATATATACTTTCATCTTGGCTCAAAAACTCCAATCAGGGGATGCCTGGAACCAGTGTAAGTCAGGGGCAGACTGGGACACCTGGGTCCCTCTTTCCCCAACCCCATACGTATACCAGAGCACCCCACCCTGGGCCCCCCCTCACCAGGCCACTGCGGCTGGGCCGGCCCCCGACAGAGGAAGCCACAGAGCTGACAGAGCTGATGGAGGAGCTGCTGGGACTGTGGGTCAGCGCTGAAACCCCCATGGCCATACGCTTGGTCTTCTTGGCTTTGGCGGGGCTGGTGGATGGGAAGCCGATGCGGATGACCTTGTGGATGGGCGCGAAGAGACCAAACTTGGGTGGGCACTGGAAATACCTGGGAAGCAAGAGAGACCCATGCTCCCATCACGGCTGCATAGTCTGGGGCCTCGCCTGCCTCCCCACCTCTTTAGAGCCCAGCACACAGGCTCATTCCTGGGGCCCAATCACACACATCCCAAGACCAATAGATGGGACTCCCGGAAAGGAAACAAAGGTAAGCAGGGCTTGAGATTCTTTGCAGCTGTGAACAGCCACTGGCATATGGGGGGGGGGCAAATAACAATTACTGAGCACATGCTCTGTGCCAGCCCCTTTCTTTGAATGCTCATTTCAAGCCCCCAACCACTCATTTCACAGATGAGGAGACTTAGGCTCAGAGAGGTTAAGTAACTTGCCCACAGTCACAAAGCTGGTCAAGTGGCAACACTGGGACTGACCCTCTAGCCTGCTGGGCTCCAAAGCCGACTATGCTTGGCTCCTACATACCCTTCGGAGGCCACCAGCAATATCTGCAGCCCTGGGCCACCCCAGACCCAAGGAACCCCATCAGCTCTCTGCCCATGGAGCTCCCTGCACAGAGAAGCAAAAGCCCGAGGGAGACACTGGGGGGTGGGGTGCCGGCGGCCAGCCAACTTGCCCCCTAATTCAGAAAGCAGAAGGCTGAAAGAACTATCTGTCTTGAAAACAGGGAGGCAAAGTGTTGTTATGGAAACTCTGGGTGGTCTTCTCTTAAAATCTCTCTGGTCAAGGATTCCGCATAAGACCAAGGGAGTTCGTCCTGTCCAGTTTCTGACTCACCTTGATACTGCCACCCCATCCCTCCTCTTCCCACATTCAGGTCTTTGTTAGGGCTGTGCCCCAACCTAGCATACCTTCCTTCTCAGGGCTGACCAGCCTCATCTGGGCCAGGGACTCTAACCCAGGGACAGCCAATGCAGGAACGCAGGCCACACAACCCTGACACTGCTCACCCATCCTATGACCCCCCAACGAGCCCAGTCACAGCCTCAACCCTCTTGACCCAGCATTCCTGGCAGTTAGTCCCCTTTAATCAGAGATGGCGTAGAACCCGGAGCCAGCTGTGACCCCACCCTTGGCTGTAAAGCACAGCCCACTGATTCCCTGTGTCACCAGGGGAACCCCAGAAGGCAGCCACCACCACCTCTCCTAGGGTTTGCCTCTGACTCTGTGTGACCTTGAGTAATGACCTCTCTGGCCGACGTTCTCTCATCTGTAAAATGGGGATGACAGTCTCACCATCTGCCCTGTGCCCTGCTGTGACAGAAAGAAAAGCAGCATCTATACTGCGGTGTCTGGCACAACCACCCACACACTCAACACTGGCTTCCTCAGATGCCCCTCCCTGTCCCCTGTCCCCATTCCAGGCAAAGACAAGCCCCCTCCCACACTCCTGGGGGAAGCCCACCATACCTGGTGCCCGCCACCGCCCCATCGTTCTTCCCAAGGGGCTCGTCCAGCTCCACGCCACACCACTCGCCCTTGGCAAAGTCCGTTTCCCCCACGTACCGCACCACGCCAGTCTTTGTCCCGCCAACCTGTTGGCACACGAAGAGACTCAGGTCTAGAGGATACAGAGGGCACAGGCAGAGACGGTGCAAGGACCAGGTGCCCAGGCTCATCCATCCCTCCCTTCTAGTATGCAGGCGAGAGGGGAGCGGGGGAGGGGAGGGAGAGCTGGGAGGGATACAGATATAACCAGTACCTCCCAGGGCTGTCCCAGGCAGAGCTCTGGAGACAGACAGACAGACCTGCATTCACACTCTACTCTGTGAGTTTGGACATGTCCCCTAACCTCTCGCCGCATCAGCATCTTCATCTAGAAAGGTTTTGGTGAGGACTAAGTGCTGGATGCACAGTGTCTGACAAGCATTAGGGCCTCAATACATCTTAGCCTTCAGAATGGTTCCCGTGGTGGCTGCCAGGGCGGGCAGGAAGAGGGAACTGAAGAGCTGTCATTCAGTGGGACCAGAGTCTCAGCTCTGTGTGATAAGAAAGGTCTTGGATCTGGTGCATGACAAAGTGAATGGACTTAACATGACTGAACCGCACACTCAAACTACTTAGGAAGGTAAATTTTATTGTGTGTATTTTACTACAGTTAAAAAAACTCACAGGACAGGCTAATAAGTGTGACTATTACTGTAAAAACAGTTAAATTAAAAAAAAACAACTAAAGTTATTGCTCTAGCCGGTTTGGCTCAGCGGTTGGAGCATCAGCTTGTGGACCAGAGAGTCCCGGGTTCAGTTCCCACTAGGGGCACATACCAAAAAATAAAAATAAATAAATGAATAAATAAATAAATAAATTTTAAAAAACCTAAAGTTATTGCCCTGGCTGGTTTGGCTCAGTGGCTGGAATGTCAGCCTGTGAGCCAATGAGTTGCGGGTTCAATTCTAGTCAAGGGCACGTACCTCGGTTGTGGTTCGGTCCCCGGCCCTGGTTGGGGTCGTGTGGGAGGCAACCATTCGATGTGTCTCTCTCGCATCGATGTGTTTCTCCCTCTCCCTCTCTCTGTCTCCCTCCCACTCTATCTGAAGAAAAATGGAAAAATATCCTCGGGTGAGGATTAAATAAATAAATAAATAAATAAATAAATAAATAAATAAAAATTAAAGTTATTTATACATAGATTAATGAGTCAAATACTTCCAAAGCCTTAAAAAGCCCTAGACGTTTCTCCACCTCTCCCCAGAAGCAAAACTCGAACTCATTAAGCTGGACCTTTTGGTAAAACTCCATGTTTCTAAATGACATGCGTAACTGCTGCTTTTTGCCTTTTCAGTTTTGGGTGCCACTGACTGACTTCCCATCAAGGAAGGGGAAGTGTTAGCATCCCATCACCACTGCTCTACACCTATTTCGGGCTTGCCGCCCTCTTCCACGCCGCTCCACGTGTCTTCCTTTTGATCCGATGGGTTTAGTGCTGACTAAGCAAGCGCTCCGCACAGGCCCCGCTCCCGCGGCCGCGACAGGTGGGAGTCTCTGGCTCCAGCACCCACAAGCCCTCCCCAGCCCCAGGGAGGTGCTGCTGCAACCTGAGCCCTCAGCTTCTTCTGGAGCTGAATTCTTTTCCGTCCTCCCAGTCTTCAGGGAGGTATCCTCTTAGGCAGGTATGCTCTCAGAGATGGGAGCAAAGCAGAAAGAGTGGGACAGTTCCCAGAGGGGATGAGTGCCTGACCCCTGCCGAGGTGTGACTCCCTCACTGGGACCCAGGCCTGTCCTCCAGAGTGATGAGACTGCCCCTTCTCTTTACTTATTACTTTCATTATACTTAAAAAAAAATTTTTTTCCATTATTGATTTTACAGAGAGAGGAAGGGAGAAGGAGAGAGAGATAGAAACAACGATGAGAGAGAACATCGGTTGGCTGCCTCCTGCATGCCCCCCACTGGTGATTGGGCCCACAACCTGGGCATGTGCCTTGATCAGGAATCGAAATCGAACTGGCAACCTCTTGGTGCATGGGTCAATGCTCAACCACTCAGCCACACTGACCAGGCAATACTTTTTTTTTTTCTAACTTAAAAATATAATAGACTTTATTTTTTAGAGCAGTTTTAGGTTTACAGAAAATAAGAGTCCCTTTATACCCCCTCACATCCCTCCCCTAGAGTTTCCCCCTTATTAACACTTTGCATTATTAGTGTAGCCCATTTTTACAATGATGAGCTAACACTGATCATGATTATTAACTAAAGCCCATAGTTTACATTATAGCTCACTCTTGGGTTTTGACACTGTATCCACCATTATAGAATCAAGCAGGATAGTTTCTTGCTGTAAAAATCCTGTGCTCTGCCTATTCTCGTCCTCAACACCCCCCCTCCCCACCACCAGTTGTGCCTTTCCCAGAATGTCATAATGTTGGAATCATACAGTCTGTAGCCTTTTCACATTGGCTTCTGTCACTACGTCATAGGCATTTAAGGTTCCCTGTGCCCTGAGCCCCCAAGCACACTAGCCCCTAGGAGGGTCCCTGGGCCGCTCCTCCCAGCCCCTCCCAGCTAGAGCTGGGTCTCACACCAGCCTTGCAGTAGGTACCCCTTAGCCAAGAATTGGGATCCAGGGACAGGAAGAACACCAGCATTTCCAAGGAACCATGACATACCAGGATGCTTTCTTAGTAGGTTTTTATAAATCCTGCAAAGTAGGACTATCAGCCCCATTTTAAAGGTGAGAAAACTGAGGCTCAGTCCCCTGCCCAGGGTCACACTGCTGTAAAGGGCAGAGCTGAGCTCACAACCAGGCTGTACAACCCCTATGCCTAGCTTCCTACCACTTTGCTACCTCGACATCCCCTGCTGGGTGTTTGACCCAGGGACTTTGGGGGCAGGCCTGGCAGAGACAGAACCTCATTCCTCATCTCTCAGGGCAATGTTCCTGTACCTAACTGGGCCAGCTGCCAACGGGGCTCCTGGAGGGACACAGCCCAGGGGAGAACCTGCCAGCCCAGGGGAAAGGGTGGGCTGGGGCACTCCGGGTTATCTGCAAGGTGAGGCTGGCCTCGGCCGTGAGCTTGAGATGTGCTGGGACAGGGTGCCTGCAGTACAGGTGGTTCTCTGGAAAGGTCCCTTGGTCCGCCCTTCTTGGGATGCCTCTGTGGCCAGCACATGAAGAGATGCGAAGGGAAAGAGACTTCACCCATGTGGAGCTGCTCCACACAGGTCCTGCTTCAGGGAGACCTCGCTGCCCTCCTCCGAGCCCCTCCAGACTGACTTTTGGTGCAGGACCCTCTCACCTGAGATGACACCTTTCCTGGAGCAGCCACTCTTGGTGACTGCGCGAGGCAAGGGCAGAAAGGTGGACACCTTGGCTCAGCACAGGGTGCTGTGATGGACAGTCTCGCTCCAGCGCTCCCCTGGTTGGCCAAGGCTCTATCCAGCCTGCAGGCAGTCTGACTCCTCCTTCTGCCCAATCTGCCACAAATATTAAAATTTCTAACGAGCACTGGCCGGTTTGGCCCACGGACAAAGAGTCTTGGGTTCAATTCCAGTCAAGGGCACATAACTCGGTTGCAGTTTGTCCCCGGCCCTGGTCAGAGTCATGTGGGAGGCAACCAGTCGATGTGTCCCTCTCATGTCCACGTTTCTGTCTCTCTCCCTTTCTCTCCCTCCCACTCTATCTGAAGATAAACAGAAAAATATCCTCGGGTGAAGATTAAAAAAAAAATCCTAATGAATATCTGCACCAAACCCACCTCAGCAACCACGTCTGGAGAACCTGACCTGCCAGCGCAACCCAACCTATCTGACATCTCTGGGGGTCAGAGAGCTCTCCCACCACTTCGCGCTGACATCTGTCTCCCTGTCCTTTGGCCTCTTGGAGCCACCAAGTAGCCAGCCAAGCTACTTCCTTCCTGAGACAGCTTTCTCTTTTTCTTGCTAATTATACCCCATACTGTCAACTGCAGATGACCAAGACGTTTCCATCCCCCCACCAGACCACTGGCCACACCGAAGGTGGAAGACACAGGGAACATTCCTGGGCTGGTAGGTAGAAGCCCAGAGTCCCCATCCCAGCCTTGCCCATGCCCTGCTGTGTGACTCTGAGCAAGGATTTGCCCTCTCTGAGCTTCTCCGTCCTCACCTATACAGCACACAGGGCTGGTGGTTTCCGCCCCAGCAGGCCTGTCTATGAGTCTGGATCGGTTCTCACTAGTCAATGACTCTCAGGTGGAGTTATCTTCCCAACACCTCCTGTCACCAGGTCTCAACCTGCCCTCTTGGTTCCTGCTGCTCTGTAATTCCAGCCTGGAATGTCTTTTGTCTTCCATGACCTCAACCCTAAACGGGTGGCTGTGTGGCTGGCCCCCGAGTCTGCCATACCAGGCCACGCTGCCTCTGAAACCAACTTCCCTAAAACCCATGCAGACAGACCACCTCCTGGGAAGGACTTTCAGGACCACACCCTGGGGTTCCTGCAGGCCCCAAGGGGGACACACACAACAGCTCTCCTCGTCCCAGGTCAGCCAGGCAGCCAAGAGCCCTCCATGTGTTCCCTGGAAGGTGCCCAGGACCAAAGGCAGTTGAGGGCTACCCCAGGCAGAAGAAAATGGAGAGGGGGCCTGGGATACCAGGGTCCCGTCTGCTCTGGGTCCTGTCTCAGACCTGCCTGGCATGGCCTAAAAGACTGTGTGACCTTGGACAAGTCACTTCAGCTCTGTGCTCTCCCCTCTGCCAGGAATACCCACCCCAGACACCCAGGACCTCTGAATGCCCATCCAGAGCAAGACCCCAAACTCGCCCAGGCCAAGGTCTGAGAAAACTTGGGAGGGAGGATTTTATTTTATTTTATTTTTTAAGTGTTTTTTCTTTATTGATATTAGACAGAGAGAGGAAGGGAGAGGGAGAGAGAGATAGAAACATCGATGAGAGAGAACATCAATTGGCCACCTCCTGCATGCCCCCCACTGGGGATCAGGCCCACAACCTGGGCATGTGCCCTGATCAGGAATCGAACCGGTGACCTCTTGATGCGTGGTTCGACGCTCAACCACTGAGCCACACTGGCCGGGAGGGAGGGAGGACTTTAGAAGAGGAAATTGGGCAGAACAGAGCAGATCACTGCTGGAGGAATTTCAGGCATTAGCCAGAAAGGTTATCTGTGTGTGTGCTGGGCTGGGGAGGGGCAGAGGCTGGGAAAGGACAAGGCAGGCAACCAGCCTGTGGGCCCAGCTCAGCCGCTTCCAGTCTAGGTGCTGGGGAGACCTCGGGTCTCTGAGTCTCAGACCTCGGTCTGTGAAATGGGCGATCATGAGAACAAAAGGGTGACCCGTGCAGCCCCAGGCACAACTCCAAACTGTACTTGAAAACTGGCTCAGACAGGAATGTGATGACCCTTCCAACTCGTAAACAACACTATTCCGGGAAGGTGAGGCATGTTTCTCGTGTGGCCTCCAGGTCCTCTCGCCCTCCAGAGATTCCTCCAGGGCCCGGGGCCTCACGCAAGTGCTCGACCAGTACAGGCCAAGGACATTCAGGCCATCATGAGCCACTGTGTGACCTCACGAAGCCTCCCTGATCTCTGAGCCCCTCACTGCACCGGGGACCCTGCGGCCGAGAGAATGCCCACCCATTATGAACTTTAATGCTAACAATAGCTAACACTTCACAGAACTTACTTGAAGCCACATAAGGCAGGTGAACTATTATCCCTGTTTTAGGTGAAGAAACGGAGGCAGAGACGATAAATAACTTGCCCGTGATTATTTAGCTAGTACATAGACCTCATGGAGTGGTGTTGAGGCTCAAATAAAACCAAGATCCAGAGATATCTTTAAAGGGCAGCACAAATGGATGAATATAAATACTGTTACTTATGTTCATAAATAACAAGTACTGCTCACACCGTTGACCCAGGTCGCAAGCAGAATCTGTGGCTGGTGAAGCTAAGAGCTCAGGCCTCAGGGACCCTCACCTGCACTGGCCTCTTCCAAGGCCCTGACAGTGCATTCACGAGAATCACATGATTTATAAAAATTTGCAAAAGCAATATTTTGTCATATTGTTTTTCTTAAAGTCCCCCCTCCTCAAATGGTATAAGTTCACCCACATCCAGGATATAATTTTTAAGGGTGGCACAGAAACAGGAAGGTGATGTGTCAGATGTTCTTCACAGCAGGTACAGGGGAGAAAGGCAAGTTCTGGGGTCAGCCAAGCCAGCTGGGTCCTGGCAGAGCACAGTGGACCAGGCTGGAGGACTAAAACCAAGGGAAGCTGCAGACTAGGGTGGGTGGGGGACAGGTGAGGCCCATTCCTGTGGTAGAAACAAACCCCTCATTCAAATTCCTCTCCCCAACCCAGAATCCAAGGACATCCAGGGCAGGCACAGTTGATGATGAATCAAGGGATGAATGGCCCACCACCTTCTGGCGGAGTGTCCCTGGGCAGGCTGTTTTCCAGGGCTGAGCCCAGTTTCCTCAGCTGTGAAATGGGGAGGATAACCCCTACTTTGTAAGGTACAGGGGGAGGACCCAAAGAGACGAGGTACAGAAAGTGCTGGGCACGGTGCTCAATGAAGGGTACACCCCCAAGAAAGCAGTGTCTCAAAGTGAGGATTCAACCGCTTGTGGGCTGGGAAGTCACTGGGGCCCGTCTGCTGCTACTGTTGCCAGTTCCGATGAAGGGCAGGGCCTGGCGGAAACTTCCAAAGCAGTGCCTGCCTTGTGCCAGCGTGAGTGTTCCCCGCCCAGTTAACCCAGTGCCCACTCCCTGAAGGGGGAACAAGTACAAGGTGAGTTCCAGGCAGAATCAAATGGGGTTAATGCCCCTGTCTCCCAACCTGGGGACCAATGAGGGCTGGTCAATAACCCCCACAGCCGCCACTTCCCACCCCCACCCCAAAGAGGTCGCAGACCCCGCCTGAGGCTCTCCCACGACACTAACCAGGCCTCGCACAGCTAGAGCCCTTTGTAACCGTGAAGCACTTCCACGTCCCCTGGATCTCTCAATGCTCCAACAAAAGCATCTCACGCGCCAGATGGCTACTAGACTTATTGTGGTGATCACCTCATAAAATATATAAATGTCTAATCACATATTATACACGTGAAACTAATATACTGTATGTCAACTGTAGCTGAAAAAGAAGTCATTTTTTAAAAGCATCACATAGCTGCTAACTATACCATTTTGCTGAATGGACAGATGATGAATGAATGAATGAGGATGAAGCTTAGTTGATACCACACAGCTAGGATGTAGCAGAAAAGGTCACAAACCTAGGCCTAATTTCCCTGCAGTGCCCACAGCCAGCAGGTGCCCTTGGACCCCGGGCATTCCCAAGGACAGCTTAGTGATACTGTAAGCAGCTTGCCTGGGTCTCGTTAGCTGGGGATGGCTTCCCAAGGAGCCACAGTAGGAAGAGCAAAATGATGGCTTCAGAACAAGCTCCCTGGACAGGAAAACACAGGGGCCTCAAGGGTCCTGCCTCCCCCACCTCGGGTTCTGCCACAGCAGCCCCGACACTCTCTGCTCCTCTATTACCTCCTCCCATCCTGTCCCTACCAAGCAGTAAGCAAGATGTGCTTAAGCCTTGGCCGGTTTTGCTCAGCGGTTAGAGTGTTGGCCTGCAGACCAAAGAGTCACAGGTTTGATTATGGCCAAGGGCATGTACCTCAGTTGCCGTTCGATCCCCGACCCTGGTTGGGGTCATGCAGGAGGCAAACCAATCAATGTGTCTCTCTCACATTGATGTTTCTCTCTCTCTCCCTTGCTCCCACTCTATCTAAAAATCAATAGAAAAATATCCTTGGGTGAGGATTAAAAAAAAAAAAAAGATGTGCTTAAAACGTGAATCTGCTTATGCTGCTGCAGAGCCTTCCACCGCTCCTTTGCTCTTAGAACAAAACCCTAACTAACCCTGCACCTGGCCTGGCCCCATGAGGTCAGCCCGCACCAGACTCCTGAGCACGGTCCTGCTCCGGATCCCTTCCTACCTACCTGGCCTCCTGCTCTTCTCTGTTTCTCTTGTGTGTCTCACCATAGGCTTTTGCCAGTGGGATGACTCTGCCCCAAGTCGCCAGGCAATTCCCCTACCTCAGCCCTAGCACTGTTCCTGGGGAAGCCCGACACCAGTTCCCTCCATGACGGTTCTCAAAGCACTGTGCATCATTTCTCTGTGGCACTTACCAGAGTCTATAAGGAAATACTGACGTCTGTGATCACATGGATAACGGTCTCTCTCCCAATACACTGTCAGCTGCTGGAGGGCTGGGACCCGTCTGGCCACGCCCACCACCAGATCACGGGGGCTGGGAGGGTTGGGAGTTTCATACGTGGGGAACCAGACTGGCAAAGCCCAGGGAGGTCACCAGGGTAGAGAGACATGGCTTAGTGCCAGTAAGGAAGGCTTTGGGGGCTGCTTTGAATCTTGGCCCTGCTCTGTCATCTCAAACAAGTTACTAAACTTCTCAGTTTCTCCCTCCACCAAGTGAGGATCAATCACATCACAGTATGGGCTTGAGGATTCAATGGGGCAATGGGCATAAATATTTTGTCATCCTCCACCCAAATGCTCTTCCCAGAGCCTCCAGGAGAAGCCATGGCCTTATGTGAGGTCTCCGGAGTAAGGAGGGAGGGTTCCAGGCAGTGATAACCTCTTGGGGTGCCCACACTGGGATTCCAGAGCCCCCCAAACCCTTCCTCACACAGCCTTAGAGCTCTGGGCTGTGCTCCCCACCTTAAGGGGAACACCTCCACTCCCCGCCAGGAAGTCTCTCTGACCTGAGCACAGGAACCTCTGCCTCCACCAGCTGAGACCTTCCCTTGACTCTTCAGACGCCAGGCCTGCCCAGCACCCTTCGGGGACGACCCCGTGTGTTTCTCTCACCTACCCAACACTGTGGTTCTTGCAGGACAGGGTCAGCCTGGAGCCACCTCGGCCACCGGGCCCTGGATTTGGCCCTGTAGGTGCCAGGAAAACACTCCTGCATTCATACTACAGAAGGATGAATCCAGACTCTCAAGGACTTGGGGGCCACTGCCCCCTTCCAACCTGGCTCCAATAGCTTACTAAGTATCAGGCACCATCTAAAGGCATTATATGTATTAATGCATTCCAACTTATGAGGGAGCTACTATTAAAATTCCCATTTTATAGATGGGGAAGACTAAGGCCCAGAAAGGTTAAGTAAGACACCTACTCAGGGTCACACAGCAACAGTCTCCCTGGTTCTAACAAGGAGTGGGTGACCCAGCCTGGACCCTAACTGAACCCCTTGAGTCCCCTCCCTGCCAGCCCCCTAGATCCAGCTTGCCCAAGTCGGGTGCAGCAGTGGGGGGAAGGGACTCACCAGCACGCGGTCTCCCAGGCGCAGGTCCTTGTCACCCCGCTTCACGGAGCCACTGTCTGAGAGGTTGGAGCCCGACTCGTTGCCTGTCTTGACGGAGCTGTTGAGGACACTCTCCCGAAGCGGAATAACGCGGCTGGTCAGTGGGGGTGTGGCAGTGCCGGAGTGCAGTGACAGGTTCTGGGCAGTGAGCGACTCCACCGAGTGGGTGTCACTGCCCGAGCCCTCAGTCGTGGGCTGCCGGGTGAGCTTGGAGGGCCGCGTGAAGATGCCCTGCAGCACCGGGCACTCGAAGTAGCGCACACCGCCCACGGCGCCATCGTTCTTGCCCACGGGCTCATCCAGCACCACACCGGCCCACTGCCCGGGTGCAAACTGTGTCTCGCCCAGGTACTGCACCACGCCCGGCTTCACGCCGTTCACCCACACCCGCTCGCCAACCTCGAAGTCCCCCACAAAGTCATCGCCCACTTCGGCCACCTTCGGGCCAGGCTTCTCAGGGGCGGCGGGCGCGGCCACGGAGGAGGGGCCCGAGGCCTGCTTGTGCAGGGGGGAGCCTGTGGGCGAGGAGAGAGGCAGCGGTTAGGGCTGAGTGCTGGCTACCTGATGGGAAACTGAGGCAGGTGTGGCTGGCAGTGTGGCCTTGGGCAGGTCTCATTCCTCATGGGCCTTTGGCATCCCTAGGTCTCCCCCTACTCTTCCAACCCCTCTGGAAAGTTCTAAGGATGAAAAGCTCAGGAAAGGGCCTCCTCAGAAGCAATACTTTCTTCAGCTCAGGTTATTCAAACTCAAGGGCCAGGAATGGACCCATGATTGAGGGTCACAAGCTGCTACCTCCCTGCCCTGGCGGACTCAGATCTTATGAATGGTCTCTGTGCCCCCTACGCTCTGGGCCCTACAAAAAGGCTCCCAACTTACTCTTTGACAGCTGGCCACAGCCACAGCCACCTTGGGGCGAGGAGAAAAGCAGCCGGGAAAACCCTCTTACTCCACCCCTAAGCCTCCCCTCTCTTCCCTCTTCCTTCCCAAGCCTGAAGCCCCAGGGCTGTGCTGACCAGGAAAAGTGGGAGGGAGGAGGGCAAGAGGAGGAAGCCAGTGTGTAATCGCATTCCTAGGACTGAACTCGGGTTCTCTGGCCTGAGCTGGGTCCCCTGATAAAGCCCCTCCTTAGAGGAAGAACGACCCTGAGGCTTAGAGAGGCAAGGGCCTTGCCCAAGGCCACGAAGCAGAAATGGGGCTCAAACTCGGGGAGGGGCCCCCCTCCCAGGCCTGGGCTCTGATATGCTCCAGACACCAGAGGAAGAGAAGGAAAGCACCTTGCTCAGGCTCCCTTAGGAAATGACAAAGCAGGGCTCGGCCCCACCACGCTCTGTGTGTCTGGCTCCTGGGCCCTACGCTCCTGGGTAGGTGGGAGCTCAGAAAGTCTGCCTATTAGCTAGTGTCTCAAGGTCTGAGGCTGTCCTTCCTTCTTGCCAGGCCAAGCTTCAAGCAGAGAAGGTCTCATCCTTCTCCTCCTCTACTCCAAAGGCTGATGGGCTTGTGAAACACAGACAGGGACAGGAGGCAAGCAGATGCTGCCACACCCCCCTCAGAGATGCTTATGTTTCCGGTCCTTCCCATGGGCAGCTAGTGGAGGGGGCACAGGACGGCGGCTCCTACCCGACTCCTCCTTTCATCCAAGGCCAAGGAACCCTGGGTCCCAGGCCTGGCTGGATGCTGTCTCAGGGCTGGAAGCCAACCATCAAGGACACAGCTTCCAGGGGATGAGGAAGCCACACAATTCCAGGGCAGGCCCAGCACACATGGCCACACAGGCAGCAGTGGTGGGAAAGCACATGGCCACCCAGGGCCTGGGCAGCCTGGACAGGGGTACTGAACAGGGGGAAGGGCTGCCTGTAAGCTGGGCTCCTGGGACATCAATGAGCTTTGCTGCTGAATTTGATTAACAACCACAGTCATCATTCCAATTAACTGATGATGCTCTGCACTAAGAGGCTGACTTATAGCAGCTTACCTAACCCTCACAGCTAACCCTGTGATTTACTGTCCCAGCTTTACAGATGCGAAAACTGGGGCTCACAGGTAACAGGTGCTTTGTCTAAGCTCCCAAGCAGTAGGCAGCGGAGCCAAGCTCTGGCCACAGGCCCTGGCTCTTGGTGCAGGGCCCTTTCAATCATCTAACAGATGTGTACAAAGTGCCCACAATGTCCAGCCCCAAACTATAATCACCCCAAATCTTGGACTCCTCTCAATGGACCTATTTCCCAGAATCTGGCTAAACCCTACAGTTTCCTACCATCAGAAAATAATTTCATCTTTTACTTCTTCCTACATAAGAATGCCCCCTTCCATTTCTTGCTTAGAGGAGAGCCCTGAGTGGGACCCTGGTTGGGGGCCCCTGAAGGCTCTCTTCCACCACCGAGGTCCCATGAGGCGGAGGTCACAGTGGCTGAGGGTGCAGGCCCTGGAGCCCCACAGACCTCTCTCAAACCCCGCTGCCCCCAGCCCCACCTGTGTCCCTCACCCGCACCTTTTTCCTGGGCCGTTGTGTGAGGCCGGACAGTGCCTGCCGGCCCATACGTGTGCCCACGAGCGCTGACTATTGTTATGTTCATGAGAAGGACTTACACAAAAGCTAAGGGACCAGAAAAAAACTGAAAACCACAAAAGGCCCAGGAGGCGGAAGGGCTTCCGGCAGGTTGTGGTGACCTCAGGCAAGTGGCTGTACCCTTGAGTAAACGGGGGGTCTGAGGCCTCTGAATTGACACACCCCGAGTGTAAGTCGGCCGACAGACTCCGTCCTGCTGGTCCCCTGCGCCTGGGTGAGCTTCGGGAGTCCTCTGAGCTAGGACAGTCCTGTGTCGCAAAGAACTTCTGCTGGGATCTGGAAGCCCGCCCACTGGGTCAGACGGGCACCTTCCTTAGGCAAAGCTGCTCCAAAAAGCAGCCAGAAGGGAAGGAAGCCCCCAGCCCCCTTGTAACACTGCCCAAGGAGCCCCGCCTGAGGGGTCCATCAACAATGAGGTGTCAATGTTGTCATTATTAAAACAGCTGCCCAGCCAGTGTGGCTCAGTGGTTGAGCATCCACCCATCCACCCACGCACCAAGAGGTCGCCGGTTCGATTCCCAGTCAGGGCACACGCCCAGGTTGTGGGCTCCCCATCCTGCATGTGGGGCGTGCAGGAGGCAGCCAACTGATGTTCTCTCTCATCGATGTTTCTATCTCTCCCTCTCTCCCTTCCTCTCTCTCTAAAATTAATAAAGAAAATTTTTTTTAAAAAAAAACAGCAGCTCTACCATTTATGAAGTGCTTACTACATGCCCCCAGAGTGGACTGCGTACTTTTGATAGACTACATTCTTATCTTGCAGATTAGGAAACAGAGGTTAGGAAACTTGCCCAGAATTGCTTACAGGAATCGGCCCAGCTGGTCTGGCTCAGCACTCTCCTCTCGATGGCTCCCGATGGCCCCCCAGTCGGGCACGTGGCAGACAGGAGCCAGCGCTCCCACATCCAGACCTAGAACATGTCCCTGTGCCTGGGGCTGCCTCCTGTCTGCTAACTGAGCCGCACGGTTGTGGCCCAGGTAAGGGCCTTTCCCTGCCTGTCCTTCTGCTTAGAGAGGAGAGTCCCAGGTCCAGGGGACCCAGCTCTTCTTGGCTATTCTTGGCAAAAAGCTGCCTACTCAGCTGTCCTCCCCAGCTGTCCTGACCCAGGCAGACCCTCAGGTAATCTTTCTTCCCCACCCCGCCCCTTCCAGGGGCCACAGGCCCGGGGACCAGTTGTTTCAACAGCTGCTAAAATCCAGGTCACAAGCCTGTGGCAACCACGCTCCGGTATTTTCTCCATTTTTCCTCTTTGGTGCCTTTGGCTGCCCAGCTCATGGGGGCAAACCCTCATCAAATCCCCCTCTCCCACTGGGGTGCTCTCAGAAGTCTGGGCTTGGGAAGGCACGGAAAACCCTTACAGAGCCAAAAAAGGAGGAACTCTTACCTTTTGTGACAGCATGGATGGACCTGGGGAGTATTATGCTAAGTGAAATAAGCCAGCCAGAGAAAGACAAATACCATGTGATCTCACTTACATGCGGAATCCAATGAACAAAATAGAAACAGAGGCATGGACACAGGGAACAGACTGACAGCTGTCGGGGGGGGGGGGAGGGATCAGGCAAAAAAACATATGTATATATATGACACACATACAGACAGACAACAGTGTGGTGACAGCCAGAGGGAAAGCGGGTGGGGGAGGGGGCAAAGCAGGGGATAAATGGGACTGAAAGAGACTTGGCTCTGGGTGACGGGCGCATGATGCAGTGTGCAGATGATGTTTTGCTGCATTTTGCACTTGAAACCTGTATGGTTTTGTGAACCAATGTCACCCCAATACGTTTAAAAAACACACCTAAAATAAATAAATAAAATAAAAACGTAACTTATAAAACAAAACAAAAATATAACCCTTACAGAGCCTCTTCCCTCCAGGGAGCCATTATAACACACTGGCTAGGCCTGGCCAAGCCCCTTCTCATACCTGGGCCTCAGTTTCCCCATGAGAGGACGAAGAACTGGTCAGAAATAGCCAGGGTCCTGTAGGCCCTGCCGTGCTGCGGGCCCACTCTGCTGGAGGAGCTGTGGGGAGCACTCCAGCTATCGGACCTGACCACACCCTCGGCTCTGAGGCGCTGAGGCTGTGGCAGGCTCTGGAAGCTCCCTGGAGCCAGATCTCCCTCCAAGTTCCTGCAGAGACCAGCAGTGGCTTAGCGAACCCCCAAGGGCAGCGACAGACCTAAACCTCACAGGAGCAGCTGACCCTTTCCCAGACTCAGGCATGAGTAAATTTATTGCTGGTTTCAAGTTCAAAGTAGAACTCTGATGACAAGGGCTAATGGGCATGGTGTGAGGGGCAGCAGCTGGTGGCCTGATCCAACAGGGGGTGGGGGTCCAGACGAGAAGGCATCCTCCCGTCCTTCCACAACCCTCAAGCCCCACCCTGCCTGGGGAAGCAGGGACAGGTCTTTTCCACACCTGCTGAGTCTCAGCCACCAGGGACGCTATTCACTGAGCACCCAGGGTCAGACGCTGGAGATGACAGGCATGACCCAATGAGGACCCAGGAAGGGGGGTCAGGAGAACAACAGGACCATAGCTACACCTTGGCTGGCCTCCTGCCTGACTGAGGAAGGAACCAAGATCCATGGGCGCCTGGGGTTGAGATGAGAAGGGTCATGGCTAATGGGGGTGGGAGCACCTCCCAGAACCAATTGTAAATCCACACAATCCGATTTGTAAAAACAATGGCTGTGTTTAACATGTGGCTGGCAAAATCCCTGGGGTTTCACAACTGGTTCTTATGAGCCAGCGTGGATTGGTGCTTCCATATCACCAGCCCACACCCTGGATGGGTGCCCCATTCAAGACCCATCTACATTCTCTATATACCCCACGAATGAGAGACAGAGAAGCACCAAGTCCCTGACTTGTCTCCCTCAGAGGGCAGGTGGGGAGAGGGGGAGAGGCCGGAGAAATGTCCTCCTTCTCTGGTCAGTACCTGG